AACTGTTTCTAATCTCCTTTCTTCTCTTTGTGTTTTATTGCGTCAAAAATTATTACTGAAATATCACGTAACAATCATCCAACCGAGATTGTTTTCGTGGAACGAGTTGTGAGGTATTGCAGTCGACTTGATAATCGAACACTCTATTAATAATTGGTTGTTTACTGAAGTTTTATTATCATCTATTTCCTTTCCATTTTAGATGGGTTTTTTTAAATCAACATTTACTTGATAGCACTTATAAACAATGTCTAAACTTTCCTTCAAAAAGGATGTACATTCCTTTATCAACTATCATTTAAAGGCATCAAAACAATCGCCAAAACTAAACATCAAAAATGTTTCCTACCTGATCTATTTCTATAAAAGGAAAGCATAGTCTGGATATCTTAAGCATGATGAACATAGTTGAAATAATATATTTCAGCTTGTTTCATAGATATGCATTTTATTTACTCAACGGGTTATTGTAATTGCTCGTTTTCATTTTAGACAACTACATTTTTAACAAATCAATTTTAATGATTAATTTTTATGTTATTATTTATGTTTCATCTACTAACTAAAGCATGTTAAACCCAGCTTTCTGACCACATGTTTGAGATCATTTAAAATTACTTACGGTCAATCAGAAAACATGAAACATAATGTTTAATTCATTCTAATCTACAAATACTATACTTCTTACTTAATAACTTACTTACGCCTGTTAAAACTCCTGAAGAAGCATAAGCTGCCTACAAGCACTCTCTATCCTACCCTGTCCTGGACAGTCCTTTCCACTTCTTATCAGTTGTTACTTATTCTTTTTATATCCGCTTTTATATTTCTTACCATATCTGAATTTTTCGTGCATTTTTTTGGGGGATAAAATTTATTAACTTTTGATGTATCTAAACATCATATGACTGATATACAGTCAATCAAAATGAAATTATGTGTTCTATTTATTTAAGAAAACCCCATAACGTTTTACTACATCATGTTTACTTGAAAATTATTTGTGATAAAAGCTACCACCCGTTAAGATAATATAAAATTTTATTATAACAATACTTGATAAACAAATATCGAACAATAGTTATTCAACCTTGTTTATCAGTGGGATATGATAAATAATTTACTTGAAATATTATATAATAAAAAAACATCAAACAATTTAGTATCAGAAGGGGTTTTGTGGATAGTATAGTCACTTTAATAGTTGAGATCATGAGTCAATTGAAGCTAGACCACGATTGAAAACCTGGGGACACTGGACAGCCAACTTGTCCTAGTATAAATTTCCTCAGCAGTGTGTATCCACGATCTTGAGTGCGGGACTCGAACCCAGGACCTTCGGTCTCGCGCGCGAATGTTTAACCTGTAAACCACTGATCCGCCATCAAACGATGTTAATGTTTAACTTCACTCAATCCATGATCATGCGCAACTCTTCATCCATTGTTTGAAGTGGATAACTGTCTTCAGCCGACATGGATTGAACTCCATTGATCAAGGCTTCTCACTAGAACTTCAATAAATCCATCTTAAATTTAATCGCTAGTGAGCACATGATTATTATCAGAATAGGAATTTGTGAAAATTGCATTCTATCGTATTTTATTGTTTTCTCTACAAACAAATATAATGGTGAATGTATTACTCAATTACGTGGATCAGTTGAAGAGATTAACATGATTGGATGTCGGATCAGTGGTCTAGTGGTTAAGCTCTTACGCGCGAGACTGATATGTTTTGGGTTCGAATCTCGTGGGTCACGGGGTCGTGAATGCGCAATGCTGAGGAGTCCCACAATAGGACGAAATGGTCGTCAAGTGCTTCCAGGTTTTCCATGGTGATCTAATTTCAACTGACTAATGATCTCAACTACTAAAACACATATAAGCTAATTTTGATTAATTTGTATAGTTAACATAAGTTCATATTGGGAAAAAGTAATTTGTTGAACAATAAATGATAAACAAAGATGAGTCAATCCGCACAGAATACACATAGATCAATAAGAGACGGAGCAATTATAGCCTTAAACACTAATGAAAAGATTCAAACAACTAATACAAGAATGACTTAATAAATAATAAAGTTTAATAAATAACTACTGAAAACTAGGAAATATTGAACTGTTGTTTTATTCTCTTATTTATGTTTACCGATGGAATCTGTAGGTTAAGGGATTCCATTTTGGTATCTATGGCTAAAGATTTGAATAATTCTAATATTTCTTTCATAGAAAAACACATGACTTATCCAGAAATGTTTATTACGTTCATCAAAGCATCAATTAAACTATAAGAAATTCATTTAAGAAAAGAGCAAGAACAAAGATTCTAGCAGAACAATATGAATTCATATTATTTCGTTGGTTCTCTGTCAGCTGCTTATAAGCTGTGATATTTAAAAATCATAATTACAAAATGGATTCAGGTTACTTACATGGAAGTTAAAATCATGAGTCGATTGAAGCTAGACAACCACAGGAAACCCGAAAACTCTGTATGGCCGTTTCGTCTCAGTGTTGTACTCCGCAACAGTGCTCATCCACGATCCCGGCTCCCCGCGAGATCCGAACCCAGGACCTATCAGTCTCGCACGCGAGCGCTCAACCTTTAGACCACTGAGCTGGCCAGCATCCAATGGTGTTAATGTCTAACTTCAACCAATCCACGAAATTTCATCACCGTACACCATTGTCTTCAGTGATCTGATATCTCACAACAGACCTGGTTGTTTGTTTCAATAGATCATTATGACAAAAATAATTGCACAACCTATTCATGTGTGTTTGTGTAAAGTTCACGACCTTCCATTATCTAACAACTAATCAAGCAAAACAAAAAAGAACTAACTTCATAATCAATGAGTCGTATTTCATATATCATAGAGAGGATACAAAAACAAAAAATTAGTATCTTAACACAAATAAACAACGACAACAACAAAAAGACACAATTGAAATGTTCCATTTTGTTTAAATTTTCTTCCTTTCTTCTTTTTGAAATGTAAACATTTTAAATTCTGTCGAAAAGTGACATTGACTGTTACAGATAATAATTTCTTATTCAGATTGAATGATACCGAGAAAGCTTAACTTACCATAGGTGTTTTAATCAATGTCATATGATAAAATGGGTGGGTATGTTTTTTCGCTCTAATAATTATGATAACTCAATTCACTTGATATTGTTTACTTAAATCTTTACATTAATGATTAGGGCTTAAATTGATCAGTCTTTTATTAGTATATGTGGATACTGTGAGTATCGCGTCGATATGTCAATAAGAGACTGATTAATTGAAGAACTAAACTTCAATGCCATGATTGAAGTAAACAATACCAAGTGAATTGCAACTTCACCACATTGTAAAATCATGTAGTTATAAGGACTCAGTAACTAAGTGGAATGGAAATCAACTCTGAGATGTTGGTACATCCAAATGACGAGTCCCAAATAAGACGAAACGCTCGTCGTGGATTCCACTGCCAGCCACTAATCATCTTTACATATAATCACAATAACTCTTTTAAACACAATTTGATCTGATAATTAATCTAATATAAGTAGTATTTAAACTTTATATTTCACTATAAACTTTTGCATAATCAACTGATTTAGATATCATTGATACAAAAGTATTTTTTTATCAAATGGATCATTTTACAAGGTGTATTTGAATGTAAATGAAAGTAATTAGCTTAAAATGGAATTGTTTGTTATCCATTACAATTGTAGTGCTGTGATCACTTTGTAATCTAAGAGAAAATTATAAATACAGCTACAAATTATAATACTTTTATTGATAAATATTTCAACACATGATAACGCTATCTGAAGAACAATTGAAACCAGCAGATATTAGATAGTCGTCTTAACAATTCCTGTACTTATTACTAAATGTCAACAATAAGTGAATTTTGAATTCCTATGATGAGTAATGTAGTTGTATACCAGTGAGGCCCCAACATACCTTAATCATTTAGATCTGCATTTTAATCAACATGTAGGTCAACAACCTCTCGATAACACTACTGATGGATGTTTATTTTGACTATTGTTATATTTGACTATTCACAACGTTTAAGTATGATAGTGATGAATTTCAGAATTATTAATAATCTAATAACGGAAAGCCATTACAAATTAAATAAATGATTGTAAACGTAAATGACTATCATAACTCAATAAATAAATAGATAATGCATTCAGTATTCGAAGTGAAAATACGGGGTTTGAGTTTTGATATGAACATCAATTTCAAGATGAAAATACTTTCACATAAATAGTCACAAATAAAACTAAGCTAACATTTTAGACATCATTGTTAGCCACAACTCACTAATTGATAGAAAGTTGTGATATCATGATTATATCGATACAATTTCTACACAATATGCATGATCTCAATTAAAACTAATCAAAATTTGGTCATAAAATATCAACAAAATGATAATCTAAACTATTACAATTTGTTTATTGCTTTTTGATTTTGAATACAAATGACTCAATATGATAGTGGTTAGTAGTGGAATTCACGACGCACGTTTCGTCCTATTTTGGACTCGTCAGCTGAACGTACCTACATCTCAAAATTGACATTCACTCCGAAGATCGACCTCAGTACCATTCACTTCAAATAACATCGGCGTTATCCAACTCGCTACTAAGTCCTGATATGTGTTTTGAAGTAAACAGTAACGATAATTTCTTTAAATGCATGAAAATTATGAATAAAAGTACTTTGATTAGTAACATTTTGTGTACGTATCTGTGTGTGAGTGTTAAAAATGCCAAAATAAAAAAAGCCGTATAATGTGTGAAGATGATATTCATCATAGATTGACATCACTATGAAGACATATCTTTTTAATGTAATTTATAAAGTAAAGTAGAGAAATACCCCTTAATGTTATTTATAATAAAGCATTCTAGGAAATTGATTATTCATTAGTATTTACAAATTAATTCCACTATTATTATCATTATTGTTATTTCGTTAAGAATTTACAAAGACATGAAAGTTGGCAAAGCTTAGAATTGGATACAGTACCTTCATCATCAGGAACAGGGGAAGTAGAATCATTGTCCACTAAAACAGTCATAACTACAACTCCAACAACAACAACAAACATAACAAATGAAAACAATACAGAATTCATAATTAATAATCAAGACGGACAAGATAATGAACAAATAGATTTGGCAAGTAGACGTGGTCGAAGATCAGCTATAATTGATAAAAAAGTAAGCTAACCAAAACTGTACAATAGTTTTATTTCTATCCAAACTTACAAATAACAGATGGAAGTAAAATTGATTAGAATGGTATTGAATTAAATATAAGTTTTAATTAAAATATGCTATGAATTTAATGATAAAATGACATCCATTTCTATGTGTCAAATGATAGATCTATTATTTTGTACAGTAATGTTGACTTGATATAAGTAAAATCATTTAGTTAATATGTGGTGTGTGCTACTGATATCGACAGTATGTATCAACAGTCGAACGTGAAATGTCAGGAAGCAGAAGGTTAAGAAGATCAAAGAAAAGAGAATGAGAACAAAGAATTATTGATGTGGAAATGAAAGAACAATGAAGTCTGAGACGATTGATTGATATTTGCAAAAGGAACAATCAAGTTTGAGACAATTGATTGATATTTTGCAAATGAAGTGTTTAGTGTACGGTTCACAGATATTACTAAGTGGTTCTTCAATTTTATGTGTAAATACATTCGATTGTTCCCCAACTGTGTTCTCGTTCACTATAAATAACGTCAAAATATTAATCAGATATTATGATCCATCGTACTGAATTATGTGTTGAATTAATTTAATTTCTCGTATGTTAGTTATAAAACTTCAACCTGATTTAAACATACTTAATTCGAGGTATCAGTCCTTGTATAAACAGTTTTATATTGTTTGCTGTTTTTCGGGATTATGATATCAGTTATTCAGTAATTATATAAATCATTTTAATTTGTTAGAAATAACAGTTACTCTTTCATTCAGATGTTGAGTTATGAATATGTGAAACTGTGACCAGTGGTTTCTAATCCGTATCGGATGTGAGGCAGTTATTCACCTCAGAAAATGAATGATGGTCGCACAATTTCGTTGATTGGTTGACGTTAGACATTAACACCATTAGATACCGACCAGCTAAATGGTCTGCAGGTTAAGCGTTCTCACATCAGACCGAAGGCCCTGGGTTTGAACCTTGTATGCGGGATAGTGGATGCTCACTACTGACCAGTTTTACAATAAGACGAATCGGCCATTCAGTGCTTCCATGTTTTCAATGGTGGTCTAACATCACTTGATTCATGTTCTCAATCAAAACCCCATACTGATATGTATACATTACATTATAAATCTGGTTTAGTCAACATCACTAAACAATCATTCATACATGTGAAATTGTTTTGTTTTGCATTTTATAACTTTACTCTACACTTGGATAAATAAAGAATCATAACTTAATATTTGGTTGTGTATTATTTTTTTCTCATACAATCGTTCTCTTTTTATCCCTAAAACCTAAAAGAAATCATTTTATTCTTTAGTGCATAGTTTATCCTGTTCTTCTTTCTCTCTCTCTTTCTCTCTCTCTCTCGTTCTCCCATTTTTTCACCTTAAATGACCTAGAAAATTGAAGAAAAATAATAATAAAACAAGAAACAAAACCTAGTAAAAAAAGAGTGATATTATCCTCTAAAATAATTGTCGTTTATTGTTAATAGAATAAGAAAATCAGATGTTGTTCGTTTTCTCCTTATGATATTCATAACTGAAGGAGTTCATTTAATGAAATGTACTAACTTACCTTATAAATCTTACCAAATTGTACTAACTGTCAATTAAATGATAACTCTAGTTTTTTTGTTATATATATATATAACTATATGGTGAGACTATAATTAATCGACGACCTTTGAGCGACGGCAGATTGACCTTGAGAATGTCCACCTAATAACCAATACCAAATGAGGGTTATAAACCTGTGTAACGAATTAGAATTATGAGTTGCAGTTGATGGTTAAGGTCAGGGCTTAGATTTAGGATTTTCATCACGAACTGATATCAGTTTTAATGCTAAAACTCTATTTATTCAAATAGATGAGTGAATTTCGCGTCAAAATTCGAGACCTGTTATCTTATACGTGACTGGTTCGTTCTCGCCATCTATATTTATGGTGACAAAAGATAATTCATGATTATTAATTCATGGAATAACATTAACTTCTATTAAAAGTTTTATCAGCATAAAGTTGTGGAGATTAATGAATTAAAATTGATGTCATGAATGGATTATTGTTAGACTATCATTGAAAACCTGGAAACACTGGATAGACGTTTCATTCTGGTATGGAACTCCAAGATGTCTGCACGCAGGATTCGAATCTAAGACGAAACACCCGTTCAGTAGTTTCAAGTTTTTAATGGTGATCTAATATTAATCCATTCATGATATCAACTTAAACTCAAATATATTATGTCTTTACAACTTAGACAAACCATTAGTAATTATTCTTAGTTTAATATGAAAAATAATATACAAAACTTTTAATAAAATAACTGAAGGGAATATACACGATCCTATTGTTATAAAATCATTATTGACGTTAGGATGATTGTAAAGAAATGATACAGTACACAGAATCAATGAATAAACGTATTCATTTTATCCTCTATAGCTTACAATTCACATCCTGACTTCTTGTATGATAAGCAGAGTATGAATCTTAAAGTATCGTGAATTTCGATTAAATATCTATTTAATGGGTTCGTGGATGCGCACTTCTGAGGGGTCCCACAATAGGACGAAACGGCCGTTCAGTGCTTCCAGGTTTTCCATGGTGATCTAACTTCAATTGACTCATGATCTCAACTGTTGTTTCATATATGTTTAATAATATTCCAGATAATATCAACTCTCAAAGAATATCTCCTATAAACTTAGTTCGAATTATTAACATGGAATAAAGTTTCATTTCAGGTCCATATCATATCATCAATATATTACATTAATACTTAACTATCAATTTTTCACGATTAGTTAAAAAGAATCTATGACTGTTTCATTAATCTAAGAGAATTTGTTTTATTAAAAGTAGGATAATATGTAAACCTATAATTTATGAACGACGTTTGAGCGACGCCAAACTGATCTTGAGAGTATCCACCTAATAACCAATACCAAATGAGGGTTATAAACCTGTGTAACGAATTAGAATTATGAGTTGCAGTTGATGGTTAAGCCTAGGGTTTAGATTTACGGTTTTCATCACGAACTGATATAATCTATAATGCCGAAACTCTATTTATTGAAATATATGAGTGAATTTCGCACCAAAATCGGAAACTTGTTATCTTATACGTGATTTGTTCGTTCATAAATTATAGTCTCGCAAACAAAATATTTTTTATTCATGTCCCTGAACTTATGAACATAGTTTCCAAGTCATTTTGTTTTATATCATTCATATAGTTATTGATTACCAATATAAATAATCGATATAATTCTCATGTGTTTAGATCATTCATAATATGATTATAATTTACGATGGTTTATTTATTGGATCAATTACCCTTGCACTAATTAAATTCAGAAATAATCTAAATGAAAAACTAAATATATCAACATATTAATGTATTAGGTTATAATCTTAGCCATCATTATTGTTATTAGCTACAAATGATATCCAAATACTTTGTTTTAATATTAAGAGTTCATCCTTAATACTGAACAATTATTTAAACGTGCCTATAGCAACTGTTTTATAATTCATTTTGTTTATGATTAGTCTTGTCAAACCCTTTAATTGTTGAACAGATAGTATTATTTGAATAGTAATAATTTGTCTATTTTTTATTATTATGATCATTGTCATGTTTGTATAAACGTATATCCTTAATCATATGTAACAGCCTACACACAAATATACCTTAAATGTTACTTAAATATCACCCATTGAATCGTTTCCTTTTCCATATGCTTAAAAAACTTATTAATTACTTTCGCCTTGATTTTGCTTCACGTTAGTTCAATTCAATTTGATTTGACTGTGAATCCGCATGCTTGCGCACATTAGCCTCTCACTTCTAAGCTGCTGGATATGCATGTAACTTTATTATCTGTGCTATCCATTAAGAAAACTGTAGTCGCCTCCTTGTATTACCTTCTGAATTCAAACACTGTTGGGATTTATTTAATAACAGTTATCAAGGTGATTGATAAACGAAACGTAAGGAATTATCTCTAAGCCAAGCCGCTACATACCTTTCATTATTATTTTGGTGAATATTTCTAATAAATTCTAACTGAAATAAAGATTGATTCTGATTTTCTTTCTCTTTACTTTACTTCACTTTTATTTTCTTTAACAGAATTTGATCGGTGAAACAGAAGTTGAAAATCAAGACACTGCAACCATTTCACAAAATGTTAACAAGTAAGTATAATGAATTGAATATATAGTGTTAGTTAGTATGTTAAGCTCATACAATTTATTCTAGCTTATGGACAGGCCAATTTATCCATCTTTCTTGAGTCACGTTTTGACCTTGTTGATTATTCACTTATCAAACTTGACTGCTTTTATATAAGCTTATGTGGGTACACTTCTTATCTTATTCATCACATGTCTGTGGTTTGTTTTTATCTGACTATAAATATCAATTCACGCTTGATTGAATCGAGTTAGCTCATTTGATTCTCTCAACTGTGCGTCATTTCGCTTCATTCTTTTTTTCGCTTCATTCCTCTGATTGTCTGTCCAGATCAATGCGTGTACAAACATTCATTCTCATATTTAACTTATTTAAATCCGTTATTCACTAACGTGATTTAAGTCGATAATTATATACGACGCTAGACGGGATATATATTTCAATAATAATCAATAACATTCATACGATCCAATTGAAGCCAGATATTGGACCACAAAAAAAACATACCTTATTAACAAATAATATATAGATCTCATTGGGAAAAAAACGTTTCTATTAAACAACAGAAACAATATAATGAATACATTTCCTGTACTAGTCTATATATGTATAATAATAACGGGAAATCATGAAGCAAACATTTCATATAATAGATAAAATATAAATTGTCTACCTTATACACGATTGTTTATGTTTCAGTAAATTTCTTGTACTCTAATATTGTCCCTAGAGTGTTTATGATCAATCTGTTTCGATCATTTCCAGTTTCCACGTTGTCTTTTTTTCTTTTTTTTATTGATTAATTGTATATAACACAATTACAAATGATAAGTTTTCTTGTATTATAAACTTAAGTATAAATCTTAAGTTATATATCCACTCTTTGGTTAATAAAGATATTGTATTCAGTGGATTCCACTGCTAGTCACTATTCATGCTTGTGACTTAAGGCTATATCGAGGCAATCCGTACAGAATACACTTATGACAACATGAGACTGATCTATTCCAATCCTAAATAACAATAAAAAGATACAAGTAAAAACAACACCAAGTGAAATTAAAGATATTGTATGTCAATACATTAGTTAATAGTTTATATGTGTGAAAATGACTGATAATCAGTCCTTGATCATTCATTAATTTAATGAATATACAAGCTTTGTAAATTTATAATGAGCAGAATGATAAGGTTGGAACATTTCAGAACTGATTCATATCGGTAGTTCATATAAAAGTGATAATAATAATAACAGTAATATTAATAATCATAACAATGTAACCATCATACAGTCGTTGATGCCCATTGCTAAGGTTTCCTTTACTAAGTTGATACAAGCATCCAGTACTTCTAGGTTTACATTGGCTGTCCTATATAATTCAGTTCGTGATTTTAATGAAATTTAACAATATCCATAATCCATATTGACAATAATCTTAATAATGTACATGAAAGAATTGTTTATATACATGTAACTTAGTGATTATTCCTTTAAATGTAACATCTTCAATTATTGGTAAGTCATTAATTTATGTTAAATAATCAAGTTGTTTTATTTATAGAATTAAAGATTTGAATTCGAATAAATAATAAACTGAAAAAAGAAATATTTTCATTCGACAGATTCAAAAAGAAGAAGAACATTATCATTAGAACTAGATAATTACTGAATGTTGTAGAAGAGAAAAAATACCCAGAGAGATAAAGCTTTTACAAATACTATTTTGTCCGTAAAATTTATCATCTTCTTTGTTTAACTGAATAAACATAGCTGTATGCACCTGGTATTGTGTATGTAATGGCAAAATGTTGATTTTTGCCAATTTTAGATTATTATCACAGAATATTGGTTTAGTGAACGTTTAATCGAGATGGTTTTTTTTCTATCCAATCACGTTAGACAGAAGTAGAATAAACGATAAGATATTTGTTTTGTGAGAAGACATGATCAGTGGAGTTCAACCAGTTCTGTTGTGAGATATCAGCTCACTGAAGACAATGGTGTACGGTGGATCAATTTCGTGGGTTTGTTTAAATCAGACATTAATACTGTTAGATGCCGGTTCAATGGTCAAGAGGTTAAGCGTCCGCTCACGTGACCAATAAGTCCTATGTTGGAATCTCTCGGGGGACAGGATCATCAATGCGTACTGCTGAGTAGTCCCACATTAGAACGGAACGGCCATCCAGTGCTTCAAGGATTTCCATGATGGTTTAGCTTTAACTGACTCATGAATTCAACTATTAAATTGTTATATTATCTACAAAACCCCTTTCTGATTTGTTCAGTAGTTTGTTATTCATTTAGCTATTTATACAGAAATGGTAACAATTTAAGTCACTTTTAAAGATGATTATATTTGTAAACTTATTCATTATTTACAATAGACATACTTAGATAAGTAAGAATAACTAAATTGACATAACATTCACTTATTAGATAAAATAGTATAGTTAATACGAGTATCATTTTTCATAAACTGTGATTAAATGATAAAACTGGTTAATTTGGAAGTAGCTCTCATTACCATTCATATACACAATATCAGCCTAATGACAATAAGTCACATTAAGTGCTAAGGATAAGTCACAATGTAATCAGTCTATTGACACTGACATATCTAATTACCATATTTAATTAATATACTATTTATTAAGACAAAATACTATATTATGTCTAAAAGAACTGAATATCAGTTTTTTTTAGAAAATCTATGTGAAGTATATGGATTGGCTTTCATTTCATTTATATTATTCACCCATACATATCCTTCGTTTAACCTGTCTAAATGGTATTCTACAATACAATGACTATCTTGTTGAATTATACTCCCTATATAACAGACACCGAAAGAGCAAGTAAATTGATAAACGTACATCAGTGTGATGAATTCAGTCAGTCTTTACTGACAACACCTAGAGTAGGATAATTATAAGAACAGTATTCAATTTGACGGTGATGAACATTTTTCAAGCGTTTTCCGGTTAGCGTTTTTAGCGTTTTTTAGCGAGTTAGTTTTCTACGGGATGGGGTCGCTAACCCATGTCCAACACTCCTCCTTTATCCGGGCTTGAGACCGGCAGTAGCCCCCGAGGTGCTCCAAGCGAAGTTATTTTGCAAGCAGCTTTTCTTAATTTTTGAGTTGATATTTCAGTGTTTGTTTGTTGTTTGTTTTTTTAAATTATAATTTCAAGAAGAGTATCATCTTTTTTTTCCTCTTTATTTATTACTTTTTTAGAAATTTAAATGAAACTGGACAAGAACGTCCACCAATTACATCATCAGTGAATTCATTTCGTGAACGACAAAAAAGAATGTTACGTAAACAGAATACTATATCCGATTTAAGTTGTCGTAATCAAATAACTAATACAAATCAAGATTATGGTAAACTTATATTATAATTAGTTTAATTATTTTAATTATTATAACTTATTGAAAACAAAAGAAAAACAATAACCAACTGTCTATTTGATTAAGGAAATCAAAAGGAAAGAGTTTTTAGACTCATTTATCAGTCAGTCAGTCAGCTACAACTTAGGACCAGGCGCATATATACATTGGTCCAAGTTGCCACACTTGATTAGCACAACCAGATGAACACGAAATTCGTAGAAGTAGTAATATATAGTATATAAGGATATAGTACAAGAAGAAAGATTTAGTACGTAGAAAGAAAGATATGAAGTGATTTTAATCTCTTACTTTAAGGGAAGACAGAGAGTGTATACACCGACGCCATTGTGATCGATTCTGAGCCATGTCACCATGAGTCTCCAACCATTGGTTACGATAGTCACGCGGGCCCCAACCAAGTAGTCTGCATCTACCAACATGGCTCAGACCAGAAGTTAGTGACTTCAAGCACTGATGCCACGTTTTGGTTTGGCCGCCCCTAACTTTCTTCCAGCCATCCCTAACACCCGTTAGCATTGCGCGCCGTGGTAATCGGTGTTCAGGCATACGCGACATGTGGACAACCATCTCAGTCGATGAAGGTTCACAACCTCATCAACTGATTTACCATCATTTCCTAATACTCTGCGTCTAACCTCACTATTACTTACCCGGTATCCCAACAGATGCGAATAATATTTCTAAGACATCTGTATTTAAATACTAGTAGCTTACGAGTATCTTCGACTCTTAATGTCCATGTTTTGCAGCCAAAAATTAAAACAGAACAAACTGCCACCCAGCATACTCTCCCTTTTATTGATAGACGGATATCTCTGCTTCGCCATAGGTGACTCAGTTATAATTTATATTATTTATTAACTAGTATCTAGGTATATGTTTGATTGTAAATATCCAAAAGACTTTATTTATTTAATGAGCATTGTTATTTGATAATTTACGATTAAATATAATCGTTTTCCCGTGAAATATTTGATTTCTAATATTAATGTCCTCAAATTCCGTAGTTCGATTGAGTGTGGGGAGAGTTAGCTTTCCCTCTAGAAATACTTTCATATGATCACGGGCATACAATCACTTTCAGAAAAGTCCTACCCACTGCCTTTTTGTGGTGGGGGTGTTGTTTACGAAATTCATAGGACAAAACGTGAATGTCCGGCCCTTTAGCCGGTTTGATGAATATGGAGTATCTACATAGAGTAGTTGAAAACCCTGATTCCAAACCAATAGTGAATACGGCTTCCAATATTCAGAAGCAAAAAATTGAATATGAACCTATTAGTAGTAACCGGCTAACATGAAATTGCATCTACTTACGTTCCTCCATTGTCTTGTGGATCAAGCTTACAAGTCAAACGCTCGGGGAGTGGTCCCCTATGAAAACCCACTGCTTTGATCTGGGCACACGGGCAGCGTCGCAGTCCTCACACAAATCCAATAATTTATGTTGCGCATATATATTTGGTGCTTCTATTTACCAAAGTTTGTGTTTAAATAAATAAAATCTAATATCAATATTGGAATTGCATCAACTGATTAAAATGAGATCCTAATCACAAACTAAAAGCTTATTGTTTAAATCACTTTAACTTAGGAAAAATTTATATCGACGAAACATAATCAATCATATTGTTGATGTAGATAAGAAGACAAAGATGTTTCATATAGCGACAGAAAAGTGAAGTTTACTACTGGAAACTATAAATACCACGACTAGAGTAAGAACAAGTAAATGATAAATGAAGATTTACTACAAATCAAAATTCAATTCGAAATTATAATTGATTAAACTAGGTCTGTGTAAGGTCATTCATTCATTTTACATAAAAAATGTGTTATTTTTACTTAAGATTTCACTTAAACTATCTTACGTTATCTATTATCAGAAGGAAGTTTTGTGGAGATCTAATAATTTTATAGTTAAATTCATGAATCAATTGAAACTAGATCACCTAGGGAAACCTAGAAGCATTGGACGACCGTTTCGTATTGGTTCGGGATCCCTCAGAAGTGCGCATCCACGATCCCGACCGTCATGATTCAAACCCAGGACCTATCAGTCTCGCGCACAAATGCGTAACCTCTAGACCACTAAGTTGACACTGAGTCCCATACTAGGACGAAAGGCTGTCCAGTGTTTCCAGGTTTTCCATGGAGGTCTAGCTTTATCGACTCATGAATTCAAATGTAAAATTATCCATATCTGTCTACTATGAATACATTAACGTGGCACAGCTCAACATGCTGGCTGAAAAACACAAATATTGTGAAATAAACAGAGCATGAAAAAAATTAAACTCTTATATGAACAACATACTAAATGAACGGAAAAATGTCCCAAAATGCCGGATCCCAAACGCTTACTGATCTCTGAAAAAATGGATAAACAGCTTGACGCTTAGTTTTTACAGAATTTATTCATGTTGAACAAAGGTCTGATTTCTATGGATGAAGGTGAATATTATTATTCACTTATACAATTTTTCGATAGAAAGTTATGAGCATTTATGAAACGGAATAACTGTTACCTGAACCCAACGAACTATTTGCTTACTATTATCAGTGTAATCTACATTTTAATTAATAATAACATTTCGCTAAGCTAATCTTCATTATTACATAAATTTACTTGGAAACTTCAACAAACGGCATTCATCAAGTGTTCAATTAATAATTTAAATGTTCATATTCATTTCTTTGTTTGTTGTTTCAAAATTCATAACCCTAAAGGACAGTAGCTTAAATATCATCATCATTGCTTTAATGAATATCTTCATGATATGACTAATGTTATGGAAGGCTAAAAGTAAGTTAGAAGCGGCTCAACCAAAACGTGGCATCAGTCATTAACGTCACTAACTTCTATCCTGAGTCATATTATTAAATGCAGACTACTGGGTTGGGGTCCCCGTGACTATCCTAGGCAATGGTTGGAGATTCTAAGTAACATATCTCAGAATTAGTCATAATTCACAAAGCTGTATGCACTCTTTGTCTTCCCTTAAACCATGAGATCAAAATTATTATATATCTTTCTTCCTAATTCTTTTTTCCTTATATATTATCACCATTAAATTAACTTCTATGAATCCGGTGTTCATCTTGTTGTGCTAATGAGGTATGGCAAGTTGGACCGATGCACATATATACCTGATCTTATAAATGACTGACATATATAAATCTTTGATACTATCTATAAATATTTATTCACAGCTTGAAATTGAATATCATTGTCAATATAATAATTATATTAATTATTCTAATTGTTTAATTAAAAAAATGCAATTGCAATTACAAAAAGGGAATTCATTCCATTTTATTAGCATTAAAGAATAAATATTTCATTAAATTACCTATATCTAGTTGCTTGGCTATTTGATTGACGTTAGAACATTTCACAGTATGATTTTATTTGTTATCTTTTATCATTGTTACCATGGTAAAAATTCCGGCTTCTTATTTTTTTTTAAAAAATGATTATAAGGATGATTTTTGTATTTTGTATTGTTCTTCAATTTGTTAGAAATTAATTATTTAAATTACAATTTTTTTAATTACATATAATCCAATACATATACCTAACATTGATTTTAGCATTGATTACAATTAGTTTGTGGTGTGTACTACTAATATCAACAAATATAAGTAGTATGTATTAATAATCGAAAGTGAAATACCTGAAAGTAGAAGATTAAAAAGATCAAAGAAAAGTGAAGGAGAATAAAGAATAATTTCCGTGGAAATAAAAAATACTGAAGTCTGAGATGAATGATTGATTTATCTTTTTTTTTTACAAATGAAGTACTTACTGAATGGTTAGTAGATCTAACTAAGGCATTCAGTAATTTTATGTTCAAATACATTTGAATGTCCCCACTTGTGTGTTCTCGTTCACTACAAGTTGAGTAACTGACATTGTAAACTCAACTTGTTATATTCAAATACTTTTGTCTTAGAACTTTAGCTTACTTAACTGCATCATAACTTATCACTGATTGTTAATATTAATTACTGTATACTACTTTTTACTTGAATTTCGGCATTTTCTATTGGAACAAAATTGATTGTGGTGTGTACTATTTATGTAGACATCAGTAGTATATAATGTTAGTCGTAAACAGAATGTCTAGCAGCAGAGATACAAGAAGATCGAACATTAAAGAATGAAGACAGAATGCAATTTGTCTGAAAATGCAAGAACAATGAAGCCTGAGTCATTTTGGGAGAATTGATGGACATTTTTCAAATTGAGCATTTACTATATGGTTGTTAGATTTTATTAATAAGTTCTGTAATTAGTTGTCAAACACATTTGATTCTCTCTACTCGTGTTGGGTATACTACACTGATGTGAATATTGAATATAATAGATCTTGTATATACTTTTACTAGTGGTTTTATCCGCTTTACTATTCTAACTAAATCCCAATACGTTGTATCCATGATACCAATTGTTTTATAAGTATATAGTGAATGAATCAAGTATACAATTCGTTAACTTCATTTATTTCTTTCTTTTGTTTTAATCAATGATAAACACTTTCTCTTATAACATTAATTAACGAGTTGAATACCATATCTAATTAATTGATTTATTTTAATAAACCTTACAAATGGTTACTTCAATGAAATATTCTTATGGTTTTCATTAGTTATTCATTATTACTCAATATCTATTCATTAACTTTAATTGATTAATAATGTAATCTTTCCTTGTTTGTTTGTTTGTTTGTTTCTTCATAGAGTTGAAACGAAGAGCTAATGTTTTTATGAAACTGGTAAGTTTGCAAACAAACAAACAAACCTTATTCACATAATTCAATTTGATTTTTATTAATGACGAAAAAACATCTTTTTCTTCCTATAAAATTATGTCTAAAAACATAAATAATTAAAGGAATATTTACGAAACACGCACAGGATGAACATATACTAATAAGAGATTGATCCATTGCAGTACTAAACATCAATGAGAAGATTTAAGTAAACAATGCAAAGTGAATTTAAACTTTACCCTATTGCACAAACCAGTGGTTATCAGGACTCAGTAACTATGTGGACAACGTGATGGTGTTTGAAGAGAACGGTGTTGGGTTCGTGTCCCAGAGTGAACATCAACACTTAGATGCAGATATATCCAGTTGACAAATCCGAAATAGGACGAAACGCGCGTTGTAGATTCGACTGCTAACCCTATCTATCTATGCTTACTAAATAGTAATGTTAGTTTTAATGGTGAAGTTTCAAAAAATTTCGTGTACACTTTAGTAACCTAAAATCATTCTATTTATTCTAAACTATTTATCTTTATGCTAAGAACTCGCTAATGTTCTAACTGTATAGTATTAAATCAAATGATTATTATCATATTCATTCGTTCATAGCAAATATGTACAAAGTTTGTCAAAACTTAAATAGCTTTTCCTTACTTTATTCAACTTGATGTAATAAATAAAGCACAATTAATCCAATTTCAAAATGACTGAAGATAATGTATTGGATATCGGTGACGTAACAAGCATTTCGATTTTGATTTATCAAGTTAGGATACGTGTCTGTGATCTTGTAGGATATCTACTTTGCATTGTTCAATAAGCGTACAATATCTAGCATTTTTCTGTTCATTTAGTGACTGAATCTTGGATATTAAAGTATATTATCACTAGGGATTTCATTTCAAATCTTTTAACATTATTTATTCTCTGAATTCGTCAAGTTGAGACGTACCACAGTGTTGTGTTCAGAAAAAACATGTTGACAACTTTAGAAGATTGAAAATCATGCACATATATCCTTCAGTCACCTATCAAATAAACGTAAAACTATTTAAAAATGCTAGATATTGCACTTTTACTGATCAGTTGGTAAAGAAAGGTTATCCATGCACAAATTAACTGAACAATGTCTCGATCTTGTAAATCTACGACACTTTTCTTATTCTCGGTATAAATTTTTAATTGTTGCTACATAATAAATGAACACAACTACGCATCTAGGCAAAAAAACACTACCGATGCAAATATGTGGATGCCTTATATCATTGACTTTTATATCTATTTTGTGGTCGTCGTCATCATCGTCGTGTTTTGGGGGTTAATAAATCATCACTTATACCAGACTTTGTATTCTTACTTTTGCGTCGTAAGAATTGCTGAGGTACCTCATTTCGAGTATAAGTGATAAGCGTTTCCGACATTACAATCAGTGACAACCAGATATAGCAAGTAGAATTCAATTGACATATTATAACAACATTAGTAGCTGATAGTCTATGTAAATTGTAGCAGACTTTTCGCGATATGAAATTTACAACTCCAATATACATGATTACTTCATGGGTATTTTTAAATAGATACCTGTATATGATACATTTTGGAAGTTAGATTACCTTCGAGAAACCAACAAGAAATATTTGTCCTAAGAATTTTTTATATGATACAGTAGAAATACTAACTATGTGATTGTAAATGTGATCAGAGTAGTCGATTGTTACCTGAATATAACTCTTCTGGGTGTACTCACAAAGACAAATATCACTCACTGATAAAATATCTTGTTGAAAATACTAGATGTACAAATACTAGACTACCTAAACTATATGAAGTTTCACTATCTTAGTACAGATATTTAACAAAGCCGACTTATAGTTATTTATCACAATAAAGTGTGAGTTCAACGGTAAATCCATATTACTTAAAACCTTCGAGAGAATCTATCAATGAACTTGGTTACATCTATGACAATTATCTAAACATCTATAGATTTCGTTCTTCTGAACAATGGAAGCTTCACGACCAAATCATCCAGTTCATAGAAGAAAATATCTAAATCATTCATCTGAGTTATAAATCTTCTCAACCATCTCAAAATGATCAAGCATCATTCGTACACGGAAACAAACATTAATTATAATTATCTTTTTGATACAAATATATGTTTAAATTCAACAGCTTTCAGGTAAAAACGTTCTCGTTCTCTAACAGAAACAAATTATCTTTATATTATTTTCAGATTGAACGTGGTACACGTTCCAAGGATTTAAATGAGGCATTACAATCACTTAAATCATCATATTTTCATGATCAATATCTAGAATCATTTAGAGTAAGTGATTAATTTTTTTTCTTTAAAATAGTTGATATAGCATAAATGTATTCAAGTTTATGTAGCCCGATAAATGAAATACAGAACAGCTCATTATTATCATTATCCAACCAGTTATCCGAGAACGATAATTCATATACTACTTTATTAAATAAAATATTTAATGAATAGTAAAACGTTTCAAAGTGAAATTTTTTCAGGGGGGGTGGAGGGTACCACAAGATTATTGTTTGAGTATACATGATCTTTGATAGATTACATATTTACAAATCAGATTGTATTATGATCAAACTAATAGCTAAAGTAAAGGAAAGTAGCATTTATTTATCCACTCTGTAGTTTTTTTCTCAATCGTGACAATTCTTCAGTATAATATTCCTTTCTATTCATGGAATATAACATTCATTACTAATTATATTCAATAATTTATTGTCAGAAGTCAATGAAACATTCATTCAATGAAACATTGATTTGCATAAATCCAACCTAAAATTCAGATTTACTCACACCACTTCAATTATACAATAATAATTATTGACTAATTATCAAAAACAAAAAAAAACAATAAATTCATTATACTATTAAGTGTATCTAATTAATAAGTATCAGTATGTGGTTGCGGAGATTATTAAGTTTTTGATTGAGATCATCAATCGATTGATGTTAGACCACCACTGAAAACCTGGGAGCATTATACGGCCGTTTCGTCCTATTTTGGATTTCCTCAACAGTGAGCATCCACGATCTCGCTCACGGATTCGAACCACGGGCCGTTCAGTGCTTCCAGGTTTCCAATAGTGGTCTAACATCAATCGATTCATGATCTCAAGCAAAATTTAATAATCTCCACAACCACATACTGATAATTAACATGTGCTTACTAGTGACTAGCTTCGTGAGGGGATCCTCGGAGGACGAATCGGCCGTCCAGTACTTCCGTGCTTTCAATGGTGGTCTAACGTCAGTCGATTTATAATCTCAATCAAAAAAATAATTAATAAGCCTTTATCTTATTTTTGGAGGTCATTATGTTTTATTGTCTTTTTTACATCATGAAAAACTGGTATCCTTTTTTACGTTTGAAATATCATTTCTTTTAGTTATATCAAAAATCGTTAAATTTGTTCTTGAATAATAGAACAGTCGATAAAGGAACACCTAAATGTTTTGACTTTAACTTAGTATAAGCCTCCTAAATGTAAACTTTCAAGATACTTCCGTTATGGAAGAAACCCCCATTCAATAATTCTTAGTTTTCGATCGCTTACTAACTTTAACGTAAGCCAAACATTGTGTACTTGGAAGACAGTTTTTTTCTAATATTTACGTTATGTATAACTGCATATTAGAATAAGAAATGTAGAGAAGCTCATTGATAACATTATTGAAAGTGGTTTACATCATGGACTTGATAAAAATATATCTCCCATTGATATCCTCTTGTCCTAATGAATAGACCGTTTCATTAATAGAAATTTATTTACAAAAGTGTATTGGTTATTCTGCCCATTTTTGTTGATTTACACATCTTCAGCACAAACTGAATCTGATTTAGTGTATCATCCATGGAACAGACTATTGTGTCCTGAGGATATTGAAAATGGTAAAGCGAATAAACTAAAGAATACACTGTAAAATAACGGCTATCTATATAATTCCGCCAAAAAATATTTGTCGGGACAGGAAAACAGGGCGAACTGCCAGGTGGTCAGGAAGAAAGCCCTTTATCCTAAAGTTGATTTTAAAAAGGACAAAGCAGGTAACATCTAAACACATTTAATTAAAAGACTTATTGGAGAACCTTTAACTTCCCTAAGTTACATATGATCTTCGTAGTACAAATACAAAGAATCGAAGATAGGTTAATGATGACGAGCTTCTTCATGTGGGCATACAGTCTTAACTTCTCCAGCGGAGCTAGTTACGTAGGCCGTACTCGTTGATTGCTCGTGAGTATATACTAGAAGGGTTGGGGAATGGTGTTAAGAAGTCTTTTAACAGCACCATCCGTTCTCACTTGGTAAATAGTAAGCATCATATTGAAATGAACGAAGCTTACTTTGTTTCATATCAAATCCCAAATAATCTATCTAAAGGAACACGACTATGAGTTTTCTACGTAGCTAAAACCATCGGGATCAACTCCAAAAGATGCAAATTTAGCTTCTATACTTATCTTGGTCCACTGCTAGATCACTTTATACATAAAATGAACTTTGTAAACTCCTTTATGTTCATTTCTCACCTATCCCATTCTTAATTTACACATTCATTCATGAATTTCCTATCATAGTTACCTTGGCAATACCTCCCTTATTTATAGTATGTTCATATGATATTATTATAACCTCTATTAAATCAATAAAATTCTCCCACTATACATTTTATTCACACGATATATTTTATTATCATATTGATTGTAACGAATCCTATTTTACAAATGACACATTTTTAAAGTAATAAATACAAAATTACACCGTTTTTAACACGATAATGTCTAATTTACAAACATGTCTTATCGTTTATTAACAGAATATAATAACTGTAATATAATAACTGTGAATCATAATAATGAAGTTATTAAAAATAAATGTCTATTGCAATGTTCAATATTTTCAAAAAGGGTTATGTGGAGATTGTAGTAAATTAGTGGTTGAATTCATGAGTCAATTGAAGCTAGACCATCATGGAAAACCTGAAAGCACTGAACGGCCGTTTTGTCCAAGTATGGGAATACTCAGCAGTGCGCACCCACGATACCGCGTGCGAACGCTTAACCTCTAGACCACTAAGCCAGCGTTTACGCACACGGCTGAAGGTCCTGGGTTCGAATCCCACGAGCGGTTTCGTTGGTATGCACTACTGAGGAGTCCCATACTAGGACGAATCGACCGTCCAGTGTTTAATTTTTTTTTTAATGGAATTGTTGTTTTAATATTGAGATAATATTGTTTTCACCATTTCATAAAAATACAAAACTACTGATGCATAAATTAAGTCAACTTTGTGTTATGAATTGAAGTTTGTAAACTCCCAGTTTTCGTTTATAAAAAGTTAATATACATATTATCTATGTAACACTAAGATGTTTTTTTATCGAATCATTGAACTGATATTGGATTATTATGACATTAATAGACAGAACTTAACAGTTTATAATTTGTAGATTTTGACAGTTCATCGGAAAATTCATGCATAAAATAAGAAGAATAAATACATAGTTGAATTTAGCAAATAATGTGATGATGTCAAATATAAGTTGTTGCCATTACATTGTTCAAGTGTATCATTGTAATCACTCTAATGATTATTAAGTTCATAGTGTGTAGAATATTATCATAAGTATATAAACAGCTTAATAGTTGACTTCATGAGTCAATTAAAGCTAGACCATCATAGAAAACCTGGAAGCACTGGATGGCTGTTTCATACTAGTATGAGACTACTCAGCAGAGTGCATTCACCATTTCCCCCCTCGCGAGATTCGAACCCAGGACCTATCAGTCCTAACTACTGAACCACTGAGCTGACTGATATCCAACGGTGTTAATGTCTAACTTCAACCAATCCACGAAATCGCGCCATCGTCCACCATTGTGTTCAGTGAGTTACTATCTCACAATAGACCCGGATGAACTCCACTGGTCATGGCTTCTCACTAGAACTCCAGGAAATACCTCTTAGAGACCGTCGCTAGTAAGCATATGTTGATTATAATCAGAGAGATGTTTTGTGGTTTTCCATGGTGGTTTAACTTCAATTGACTCGTGATCTCAACTATTAAAATGACTAAAATCTCCACAAAACCCCTCTCTGAACTTAAAGAACTGCTGATAAACAAAAATCCTTGAGTAGGTGTTTATTTTCAGCAATATGATCTCTCATTGACTAAAAAAATGGTATGGAACATAAATTATTACAGTTCAAGTATGTGTAGTATTGTGACTACAGATTCCTGAATGACCTTAAACGAAGAAAAGACAAACATTTATATAATTCATTAATTCTGTAGTTGAGCTTATAAAACATTTATGACTTGGTAATGTATAGTAAATATTTCGATATTGTTATGACCGTACATCATTAAAAAGACCATTTCAGTTATAAATGAATTCGACCAAAACATCTATGTTTGAAGTTTTAACATTTATTTCTTTGATTGAGATCATCAATCAATTGATGTTAGACCACTAATCAAAACCTAGAAGCACTGAACAACCGATTCGTCCTATTGTACAACGCTTCAACAGTGAGCATCCATGATCCCGCTCGCAGGATCCAAACCTAGAGCCTTCGGTCTTGCGTACAAACGCTTAACATTTAATTTTATTATATCCTTCGATAATACACCTGTAATTTGATTACTTATACCACATTCTTTAATATTTCAATGAAACAACAATAGAACAACTATACTAACTGGTATCTAACAATAAAAAATATAATATATCTACTATATTATAACATAATACATGATATGACAGTTATTTTATTCAATTATTTTGTATGTACTTCATAAATATAAACAAAATATTTCCATTCCTGTGTATTGTCAAATTATTTTCCTAGTAGATATCAATTATTAAAAGTACAAACGTAGCATTCGATATAAAGACAACACCCACCCATAAATAAATTGACCTCATTTTTTTTCTCTTCTAAATAATATAATGAACAAAACATATTGTTTTGTTTTTTTTCTTTCCCTTCTTTCACTTATTCTCTATATGATTTCCTTTTGAAATATTCTATACTCTCTCTCTCTCTCTCTCTCGCTCTGTTATAATTATGTGTATGTGTGCGTGCATGCATGCGCGTGTGTGTGTATATATGTGTGTGCATGTGTTCAGATCAATTTACAGATGACCTTCCTTTCAACTTTAATTTCATTGTAGGTTAATTTAATAATTTCATTTAATAACAAATATTTTCTCATTATAAAAATTCTTTTTTTTTAAGAAAAAAACAAAAAACTAAAATAAAATACCCTGAATATTATCATGTCATGTTAATATTTAAATGAAAACAATAATAAAGTTGGTTAATATAAGATTCATTAGTTAAGTTAAATGAATAACATTATTATTATTATTATTATTATTATTATTATTATTATTATTATTATTATTAATATCAGAGGGGGGTTTGTGGAGATTTTTAGAAATTTCACTAGTTGAAATCATTTAGACCACTGATCTGACCAACATTCAACGGTGTTAATGTTTAACTTTAACCAATTCACGGATTTGCACCACCTTAGACGATCGTCTTCAGTGAACTGATATCTCACAACAGACATGGTTGAACTCTACTGGTAACGGCTTCTCATTAGAACTTCAGAAAATGCCTTTTGAAGTCAGTCACTAGTGAGTAGATGATTATTATCAGAAGGGGTTTTGTCGAGATTTTTAGAAATTTCTCTAGTTGAAATCGTGAGTCAATTGACGCTAGACAACCATGGAAAACCTGGAAGAATTGGACGGCCAACTCGTCCTAGTATGGGAATCCTCAGTAGTGCGCATCTACGATCCCCCCCGCGAGATCCGAACCCAGGACCTAGCAGTCTCGTGCACGAGTGGATGGCACTGCTGAGGAGTGCCATACTAGTACTATTAATATCGTAAAATGATCTGAGTTAGTAATTCATTGAAAATCTGGGAACGCCAGACAGTTGTTCATTCCTAGTATAGGACATTTTTGACAGTGAACATGGTTGACTTAATTGGGTATCAAACTAGTGCCTTCGGTTTCTCAGTGAACTCTGAAGCTCTAGGCTGTTAAACGGACATTGATTGGTGTACATGTTTAGCTACAATAAATTAAAGACATTAGTGAGCTGACGGTCCTTGGTTCGATCCATAGTTAGGTCATAGCTGTATACAGTTGGGAAGTCCAATATTGAGATGAAACAGATATTTAATGCCTGTTTGTTTCCAATGATTGTGTAAAGTGAATCGGTTCTTAATATTAGTAGTATTAAATAGTCTCGGCAAACCTCTATACTGATAATTTATTATTATTATTATTACATATCAAATAAATTCATTGAGACAACTTCTTACTGATCTTTAATGCTATGAAATAAAGAGTTATACAAATCAATTCAAGGGTCTTGATAACCGGATATAAATATGTTAGATTGAAATATGTTTCGAATTAGGATGATCATTATTCAGTTTACCGATAGGTTTATTGAGAATTCTCTAAATAGCTAATTCATCATTAGTATAGGGTTATAGAGATTGTTGAGTTTCGATTGAGATCATGAATCGATCAGTGTTAGATCACAATTGAAATCCTGGAAGCTGTGACCAATGGAGCTAATCTATGTTGGATGTGAGGCAGTTATTTACCTTAAACAATGGAAGACGGTTGCGCAATATCGTGGATTGGTTAAAGCTAAGACAATAATTGAAATAAATGTGCTTTAATAATAGGCATATATATTGTTGATAGACTGTTAAAGTTATTCATTGGAAAAATTTACTAATTCTGAACGATTTTTACTGAAATCCTTTTAATTAGTAACTGTTTAACTTTGAAACAAACGTCTGAATTTTCCCAAAAAGTGGTATAACCGTACTATAATTACAAGCTTGATCATGTGTTAAAGAACCTTAAGCCTTCTGTATAATTGAACTCAAAATAGTATAAAAAATGGAAGATAATTAAAAAGTATGTACACCTTATACATGATTGGTAAATTTGAGAAAGTAATGTATTCGAACTTACACATGTGGCTTCAATATCAACCTTTGTAAATCTTTATTGGGACGTGGATAACTTCACAGTGGTATCTATACTATCTTAACACTTTTTTCCTCCTCACGTATTAGATAGTTGATACACTAACATTGATCAATAACGAATTTTACCATCATATCTATAACTCTAAATGCCTCCCCTGTAAACTATTTAGTTGTCAATATATAAGTTCGTATCTAGTGAAACATATTCCATGATAACACAATTGAAGTTTGGAAGTATTTAGTTTTGAACATTTTTCGAAGTAAATTTTCTATAAAACTAACCAACAATTTTTTATCCATACAGATAATTACCCATTCTACCCTATAATCACTTCCTCTGTTATACTTTTCCTTTCTGTCGACATTATTATATTGTTTTCTTTTGTGTAGTAACCCAAATTTTGTAACACTGAATTATATTGTTTACATTTAAACTCATTATAAAATGGTTAACATAAGTACACTTAATAATTTTGAAGATACGAATCATATTCTGGTTAGTTAATGGTAGCACAAATGGACTATCTTTATGAAAGTAAAAAAATAAGTGAATAAATACAGTAATTAATAGAAAAAGACAATTGGGTTATGACCAATACAAAGCAAGTCGTTACTCTTGGTGCTAATAGAATTCTATTGATCAAATTGCATTCTGGTCACTAGTCTATGACACATGACATCGAGAGCATTATATTTAGATGTAAGACACTTATTGGAGGTAGTCGACAGAAATTCTAAGTTTCTTACTATTTGGTACTCATCAGAAGGTTATGTCTGTAATCTCTAGGGGACTGATACTCATCGACTGACTTAATGTTGCATCATTCAGATTGGCAGTTTGAAACTGCTATTGAGCTATTCGAGCCACGAGTAACAATGTAGGGATGACAAGTATTTACAATTAATCGATCACTGTGTTGCACCAAATCTCATGTATTGCAATACGAATAATGTAGCTATATAATGTTTAATGAAATACTTTGTTAGGATATATAGGAAGAAAATCAAAACCTCATTCAGTAGTTAAACGCCAATAACATTTGCATATCGATAAACAGACGAAAATTACAATGCTATAATAGAGAAAATCTTTTAGTCCCTTTTTTTCTACGGAATACTATGTTCCAAAAAAGCTTAGAAAGGAATAGTAGTGATTTTATGAACTTCTTAGGAAAACAATAATTCCATTTACTAAGCTGAATCTAATATGCATGTACATGATATATGTTACCAAATTAATGGTACATATAACCACTTCAGTATGTGAATTCGTATCAAACTGATATCATTTGTCTATCAAAAAGGTATAGGACATTTGATTTTCCTCAAACTTTCTTAATCTAACAACTTATTCTCATAGTATTCATTCTATATCATGTTTCTAAAAATTATACCTAATCTATTCTATTTATTCATTTATTTTTTATTTATTCAAACAAACAAACATTGGCACCAAATAGATATGCGCCACATAAATCATTTGATTTGTGTGAGGGCTGAGATCCTGCCCGGGTGCCCAAACCGGAGCAAGTGGTTTTCTTAGGGGGCCACACCCAAAGCCTTTGACCTAAGGGTTTAATCCATAGGACAATGGAACGATGCCACGAGATGCAGTCCCATACTCCATTTGTTCCTTCAGGATACTGGAGCCCATGTGCAACATTGGTTTGAAATCAGGGTTTCCCAACTCCCCTATGTAGACTCTCCGTGTCCACCAACTCTGTTTCGTCCTCTCAATTTCGTAAAAAACACCCTTCCCACCGCGAGAAGACATCGCTAATTTATTATAATCTTTAGAAGCATGTAACAGTGTAAACAAATTTTTTATTATTTGGTTAGTATTAATTTTATACTGAAATGTAAATCTATGTAAATAGTAGTAGACATAATGAAAAGCCATTGAGGTAGAAAAATATCTGCATTTGTGTTTTTATTTCTGAATATTTACTTATGTGTATATGTTTTTCTTTTTTTAATGCTCACTACTATTTTATTCAGGATTCTCATTGGTCACAATTGGATAAAAGTGGAAATTCAGAAAATATGATGACTGATCGTGAAGTTCGTCGATGTGAAGCAGTTTGGGAATTATTCAAAAGTGAACTGACATTTTTTACTGATCATCTTATGGTGCTTAAAAATGTAAGTGGGTAGTTGAATTAATTATATATTCAAATATAAATATTCATTTTACCATTATCTGCATTGATGACTTTTAAGGCCTTAGTAACTAGTATCAAATACTAGATTTTTTAGTTTGGAAGGTTGTTAAGGGTTAGAAATTATAATGGTACAGAATCTAAACAACTGCTTCCTTTTTTCAAATAAGGAATCTTTATTATTTATAATGATTACAACTAATAATGTCATAATGTGACCATGATTACCTTCTAATTGAAGTTATCTCAGCGAACCGATAAAGTATTTTTGTATTGGTTATTTGAATCTTCACATTGATGTTTAAGACTACAGTTGATCAGTCTCTTGCTGATATATGTGCATCATGTACTGATTACCTTGATAGTACCTCATATATTAAGCATTATAGTTAGAGATGGATGATGGCTGACAGTGGAATCCACGACACGTGTTTCGTCCTACTTGAGACTCGTCAAATAGATGTACCTGAATAACAGAATCGATGTTTATTCTACGACTCGAATCAACTACCATTCGCTTCGAGCGCCATTTAGATGTTCACTTATTTTTCGAGTCCAGCTCTGTGATGCAGGTACATACAAATGACAAGTCCCAACTAAGACGAAACACGCGCCTTGGATTCCACTATTAGCTATCATTCATCATTGTTCATAAATCACTGAAGTAATCAACAAGCATCAAGACATATTTGACATATTTAGATGAATCGGTATTTGCTCTGAATAAATTAATTTATACTCTTACTGATTGAAATGATCATTTAAATATTTGTATGTTCTTCATTATTCAAACGTCACACACATCTAAAATATTTGGTTATACAAATTGTAATACGAGTATGAAAACATGCTTTTTCAAGGTAAACTTGGTTTATTCTGTACCTAACTCACATGAAACACTACAGAAAGGTTTTTATAAGCAATTGATAAAACAAATTCAATCAAATGTTGTTCTTCACCAAACCAGAAAGGATTGAATAATGCTATCAAGTGGTTTTATGTATGTTCATGTTGTTCGTCTCACTTTTGGCCAACGAACTATGTATATATAACTATTGTGTATAAATGTTTTATAACTTCAGTGCTTTATGGAACCATTGAAAAAGTTACAAGTGGACGGATATCTTATGTTTGTTGAACCGATGCATTTATTTGGAAATTTGGATGATTTGTGTTACGTAAGTTTGTCTTTTTGTTCATCTTAATTCTCTAAATATTATAATAAACATATCTGAAGTTGTGTAAGGTGACATTTTATAGACAATCATGTGAAATTTTACAGAATATAACTATTACTATTACGCACTACTTAAATGTGACTAAGTTAGTGGTTGGAGGTTTTCAACAGGAAACCTTGGACCTACGTTTCGTGCTACTTGGCACTTGTCAGCAAGGTGTAACTGTAATCTTAGGAGAACTGATGTCCCCTGACGGATTCGATCTCGTGTCACCCAGCTTCACAGCCAGAGACGTTAACACTGGGCTATCCTAGCCGCGACTGAACTCCTGTAGGACTGAGATGTATTTAGAATTGACTATTCACTAGGTAATGATCAGTCAATTGTAAATGTAACTAATTAGCTTAACAGTTTGATATTACATTGAATTGTATTGTTTTGGAACAAATAATTCAAAAATTAAATATGATTGATTTCAGAGAAAATACATTACATCTTTCAGATAAACTCCTTCTCCCAGTTGTTCTGTGGAAATTTATCATACATTTATTCGTTCACTTTAATAGGTTAGTCATACATTTTGCCGTGAACTTATCAGTAATTTAAGCCAAGAATCAGTATCAAATGAATTTGGTAGTACTGATGTATTACTTCGTCCATTAAAAAGGGTATGTTTACAAGTGAAGTTTTTAAGAAGTAAATATATTTATATGTAATTTTTCCGAGTAAGAAGGAAGAAAATCAGTGGCAAGTATTGAATTGCTAATAAAGTGATGATTACGTTTGTTATGATTTGTGTTAAATCTGATTTCAACAAATACTATTGATCGGATGGATTTTTAAAATACTAATGTTGCTTGGTGTAAACATTGGATATATGCGCTTTATCACCAGCATTTCTAAAACGTTTTCTAAAGAAATACATTTCTGTATCATAGTACTTGACTTTGACAAGTCTTTAGTATGATCTCTCTACTTAGTTATCGTGAGTAGGTCCATGAATTGAACTATATATCAGCTGTGACAGTATGAGTAATGATTAGTATTATTTCAAGATAACATTAAGTAAACAGGTTTATAGTCATATGGACCTAGAAGCTCAGTAAATAACAACTTAATATTTGAATTAAAAGGTACCGTCTTTAATTTTTAGTTATAACATTAACGTTGAGATGCAGTTACATCCAGACGATCAGTCCCGAACAAAACAATACGCCTCTCCTAGATTCCACCGCTAAAAACAATTTAGGTGGTTTAATATTTGTATCAGCTTGTTTACTTAGGCTGCCTGCTTTATTAGTCACTTGAATAGATATTACTTCTTATAACTAGGTGTTGCGGAGCCAGATTTTGTGAAAATTGGCCGAAATTTTTAGAGACCACTATGAATGAGAATAGTAATCATACTCAAGTAAACCTATTTAGAGATCAGTTGTGCTGATACTAATTATTTTAAACAAGAATCATGATTCTAGATTCCTTATCGGTCCTACTTCCTGCCTAGCCCTGACTATCGAATCCAGAACACCAATCTCAGCCTCTGCGAAACAAATCAGGTATTTTAAACATACTGAGTTGATATACAAACCAAACAGACCACATCACAGAATAAAATAGAAAATAACATTTGTACAAGATCTAGCCAAAAGTGACTGTGATTGTGGGAGACTGTCATCAATAGACTGGGCAGAACTCAAGAATAACAAATCGTGTGATAATAGTCTGTAGGTCAAAATAAAGCTCATAATAAGTGAATCATGAATATGCATAGTTTAGTTACTTAACAATTATACAATAAAAATATACGCATAGTATTAGTCCATAAATGGATCCCAACAGTTAACATTCATTATTCTCGTCAGGATATATCGGTTATTCATATTATGGGAATTTCCAATAAATACATACATACAAATTTATTGTAAGAATTTCGTTGATTAATGAGTAGTATGTTTATCTAAATTATCAGTAAATTAGTTAAAATAATTCATAAGTATGTTAATCTTAAAATGTCTTTTGTTTCATTGATGAAAATAAGGAACACTCGTTAGAACTAATACTTTATAAAACTTTAAATTAGGTAAGCACAGATTAGATTTCAAAGAATCTTCTTAACATGAATTTTATTTCCACTAGTTTATCCAGTTTGCTACAGGTAGATCATATCAGAAGCTGGAACTTATACTCAAAGTGTAAACGTTTTTTTCTAAAATCGGAAGGTTTGTTTTTACAATTTAATATGAGAGTGTTAGCAGATAATGAAACGTTCTATTCTTAAACACCCAATATGGTTGAACTCTACTAGTCTCAATTGAAATCCGCTTTCCTGAAGAATTCAATGCCAGGACATAATAGTTATCGAATGTTTCTTGATTATCAATGGTTGATTAATTTAGTTCAGCTCATGATTTCAAAAGATTATTTGTTTTAATTAAGATCATAAACCGATTGATGATAGACCAGCGTTGGAAACCTAGAAGCACTGGACCGCCGATTCGTCTTATTGTAAAACTGCTCAGTAGTGAGCATCCACGATCCCACTGGCGACACTCGAACCCGGAGACTTCGGTCTCGCGTGCGAACGCTTAACCTAAAAAGCACTGAACTGATTGGTATCCAACTGTGTAAATGTCTAAACTGAACCAATCCACGAGAGTGCGCAACCATCTTCGATTGTACAGAGGTAGATACCTGTCTCTACCCGACACCGATTATCTCCACTGTTCACGGTTTCATAGTAGAACTCTGAGAATCCCCTTACGACGCTAGTCACTAGTAAGCACATGTTAATTATCAGTATGCGGTTGTGGAGATTATTAAATTTTGATTGAGATCATGAATCGATTGATGTTAGACCACTACTGAAAACCTGGAAGTACTGGATGCCAACTCGTCATCCATTTAGCTACTGAGTTTTGATAGTTACTAGTTTGTACATTGGGGTGAAGTTTGAATTCATTTTGTATTGTAAAGTATGCACACATATCAATAAGAGACTGAATAATTTCATTTTTAAACATCAATAAGAAGATTCGAAAATGCCATACCAAGTGAATATAAATAAATGAAATTGAAAAATGTTATTGAATACGCGTTCGCGAGCTAGACTAAAGGCCTTCAGTGCAAATCGCATGAGCGGGATCGTGAATGCACACTGTTGAGGAGTCCCACAATAGGACGAAACAATCATCCACTGCTTCCAGGTTTCCAACGATGGTCTAACATCAATCAGTTCATAATCTCAATCAAAACTTAATAATCACTAACCAAAAATAATACAAACTATATTCCCATAATTTGTTTGCATTCTTTCTTTCTTTTTTTTCTTTTTTTTCAATTATTTAATTCTCTTCTATCCACTTTCATATGTGTTAAGTGGTCTGAACATTCAAAAGATGGTGAAATTTATCATAATTATTGTTTAAATTATGATTCAGCTTTAACTTATTTAGATAGTTTAAGAAAACTTGAACATTTTAATGAATTTGAAAAGGTTAGTCTCATTATTCTTTCATTATAAAGTTTTGTTTTAATGTATTCAATTATAATTTAAAAATTGATTGAATTATTGAGATTAAAGAGTAAATTCAAGTTAAGGAATTGATATTTAATGAAGTTGTTTTGTTTTTATAAAGTTAATTTATTAAATTAAGTACTGTAGTATATAATGAAGCATTGAACAATTCAATACTTATCAATAGTGAACATTATTAAAGAGAATAGTAAACTAAGTTATTTTATGTATATTATTGTGTAGTGTCAGTTATTATGTTAAGCCCATATACTTTATTCTGGCTTTCGGACAACTCAACTATTCATTCTATTTGAGTCATATTTTCACCATGTCAATTATTCACTTATCAATCTTGACTGTTTTTATATGAGAGCGTAGTTGTGTGTACACTTCCCATACCATTACTCATCACATGTCTGTAACTTATTTTTGTGTGACTATAAATATTCATTAACGCTTGGTTAAAAGGCGAGTTGGTTTACCCGCCATTTCCACTGCGCGTCGTTTCGCTTTGCTTCGCTTTGCTTTACTTCTTTCTATTCCATTCGCTTCATATACAACATATAAGTATTTAAAAGTCCATTCTCGTTATTTGACTTATTTAATCCCGTTATTCACTGAACGTGGATTAAGTCGATAAAGACATACGAGGATAAGTGACATATCCAATTCAATAACAATCATTCATACGATCTACTTGGAGTCAGATCTCGAGCCACTAAAGTGGAGAGCCCGTCAACAAACATTGTCCGATCTAAATGACAACAAAATTAAGGGCCCCAAAATTGTATAAAATCTGAAGAATCTTGATAAGTCACCTATACTACTCCACGAGGGGTAACAAGAATAAATAAGTATATACAAAAAGACTTTTGTGAAGGATTTTATATTTAAGCTTTAATGTTATATATTAGATCGAAAGTATTTGAAAAAGAATTTATTCAATCCATACAAAATATTTCACAGCTTTTCAATGTCATTTCTCGTTAATCAATTTTGGTGTATTTGAGTCTTTCTCAAGTATAGACTTTTATTAGTTTTCTTTTCGGTTGAGAGTGGGACGAGTACTCTCTCCCTCTTTAAATCCTATCACATGACCACGCGTATACAATCAATGACAAGAAAGTTTTACTCAATGCCTTCTCATGATAGCACTGTTGTTTAAGAAATTAAGAGGACGAAAAGCAAATGTCCGGGACTTTAACCAACTTGACTCGAGTTCCAAAATGAACATCAGTTCTGGGATGCAAGTACATCCATCTGACACGTCTTAAATAGGTTGAAACCTGTGTTATGGATTCCACTGTTAGCCATCATTCATCTCTACCTATGATGCTTGTAATATATAGTAATATCGAATCAATGCGTACATGATGTACATATGTCAATAAGAAACTGACCAATCATAGTCTTAGACATCAGTGGTAAGATTCAAACAACCTATACAAAATAAATGCATAATAGTTTATCTGCTTTGAGTTTTGTGAAGTAGCAATGTTCGATAAGTTGAAAAAAAGAGAATTTCATCTACTACGTAAACTGCATTATCGAATAATAACACTTCACAGGAACAATTTCTGGAATGTTGGAAACTTAAAGAAGATGCAAGTTACTAAAGATTTTTGAGAAGACTCATCTATCCATCTACTATAACTGTAGAACAACTGCTCATAGCACATTTCATATCCGTTACAACTAAACTACTCTTCATTCATCCTAGATTTCACTACTAGCCATCATCCATCTTTGTTTAGAAGCTATATTTTATTCGTTCAAAACATTCTATAACCTGGCTTCATTGTTATTATATTTGAAATGATGACATATAAAAAAAAGACCAACCAAAGTTTCGTAATCAATTTATCTAGTTCATAAATATACAATATTCATCAAAACACTCCAAGTTCACATCTAATTCAATCAATTTCTTAAAAGTTCTTTAACATGAATCCTATTGCTTTATTTATTTGTTAATTTCGTTTACTGTTTTAATGGGAAATAAGTGTCAGTTATAACATCACTCAAAAACTACTGAAATTCTAATCAATAGTGTTTCTATTGTTATCGTTTGCTTAACACAATATCATATCTTTACCATAATGAATAGTTGAACAAACTATTAGAACATGATTTTAAAGAAAGTAAGAACATTTTATTTCATTAGGTTCTCATCAGCTGCTTACAACCTAAAATATTTGAAATTCAATGGTATTACAGATATTGACATACTTATACATGAGACAGTGATGAAGCATGAATATATGTAACATGATGAAGCAAAGATTCCGTTAGAGTTAATGAAGTCATAAAATTTTTGTTTACAATAAATAAAGTTCGGGAGGGAAACTTCCAGAACATTGAAATAGTGATTAGAACTCATGGAATTAAAAACACATTAGATTACTATGTAATGAAGTAACTGAAAATAGATCAATGGTAATAGAGATATGAATTGAAATTAGTCAGTTATGAAGAATGTAATTTTAAAATTCAGAAAGTGTTGGAATAATGAATGACGTAATAAATAAACAGGGGGGGGTAATGTTACCAAGGCAAAAGAAGATTTATTACTATTTCTTTTTGTATACAAAGATCCGGTTTTAGACGTTTGATTGCTATCGCTTCGCCAAATTTCAAAAGGTTTGAGTTTGATTGTTTGTTAATCACTATGAACGACTTCAGAGTATCGACTTCATGTCCTGTGTTAAGAAGATGTCTTGCGATAGCGCTACTGAATGCTTTTAGTCCATTTGATCTCAAACTCTTCGGAATATGTTCTTTGAATCAGACGTAGGCTCTCCTTTCTGTTCTACCAATGTAACTTCTTTGGCAGATACATGTAAATTTGTATACGCAGTTGGTGGTAACATGAGAGGAATACCTGTCGACCTTTGATTGTGTCAAAGAACATGTTGTTTTGGACAGGACAATCAATTTAGCTGCCGGATAAGTTCTTGTCAATGCAGTTTTTAGTCTCATATTGATTTACCCTGTGACATTATCACCTTTGAATTTGAGTTGAATAAAAATAGGTTTTTTATTTTTTGTAGTTTCTTCGAGTATTTTACCTTCACGTTTTGCATATTCCTCAATAAATTTCAATGGGTATCCGTTGTTCCTTAAACAATTTTTAACATTCATAACTTCCTCTTCCATTGTATCGGCAGTACATATTCTTTCTGTTCTGTGAAACAGTGTTTTGACATGTGCCTCTTTGTAATTGATTGGACAAAAGCTGTTGAAATTGAGGTAAATCCCATTCCATGTGTCTTTCTCATAAACTGAGCGTTGAACTGTACCATCCTTTCTTTGTTTCATTGCGATATCGAGAAAATGGAACTTGTTTTCTCTTTCATGTTCCATAGTGAAATGGATATTTGGATGAGCTCCGTTGGAAAATTTTAGATTTGTTGCATGTTGTTGATTATTACACACGATGAAGGTATCATCAACATACCTCGAATAATAAATCACTTCGTCAATCACTCCTTTGAGCTTGGTCCTTTCGAAGTTAGCCATGAAAATATCTGCTAGGACAGGACCTAACGTACATGTGTAATGTTGTTTAAAACCTTTACTTATCTCTGTGAAACTTTTTCTTTTCTTTTAATTTATTGTTAACTCTAGTGGTGTGAACAAGATACTCGTTGTAGACGATTACAATTAACAGATTTATTGGTAGCACCAATGCAACATTATATGAAAATACCATTATTATTAAGCAGTATTCGACGTTATACAGCATGTAGTGCTGAACAAGAAATGTTAACAGCATGTTTAACTAAAGTGGAAAACTCATTGAGTAAGTGTATTCTATAAAATGATTTTTTTCTTGATAAATGTAAAATATAAAATAGATAGAATAAAATGAATTCATTCTATGTTTATGGCTTATCATCAGTTGGAAACACCCTATAGACAAAGAGATGTTATAGAAAAAATAAAAACGTTTAATAGACTTTATTTAATAAAGTTAAAATTGATGTTTAAAATATAAGCACACTAAGACTTCCAGAATTTTTAGTTCACTATATGGAGGTAACTGTTAGATGCATTGAACGACTGTTCACTCACGAGATCTAAAGTCTTGGGTTCGAGTCCTTAGTGTAGGACTATGGATAAGCACTTTTTTCCCAATTATATTACTGTTTGCAACTAATATTTCACTGTGAAATCAAATGACTGATATCATTTAAGTTAACCAAAATCGATTACCTTGTTGTTGAATGTAATGCTTTAAATAATCGTTTCTAATTACAGCATAATACATATTATATACACGAAAAATCGATACAATGAGTGCTACACTTTTGATCACATATTGATCAAATCAGTTTTATTTGATATTATTTTACATTCGTTATTGATGATCAATATATATACCTTCATTAGATGAACATATACAAGTAGAATATACGTAGTAGACTGTTTTATTAAATTTTAAGAAATAACAATATTATCAGAAAGGGTTTTGTGGAGATTTTCAGAAATTTCAACAGTTGAAATCATGAGTCAATCGAAGCTAGACAACCATGAAAAACCTGGAAGCATTGGTCGGTCAACTCGTCCTATTATGGGACTCCTCGGCAGTGCGCATCCACGATCCTGCACCCCCCTCGATATTCGAACCCAGGACCTATCTGTCTCACGCGAGCGCTCAACCATTGGTTCATTGAACTGGCAGCATCCAACGGTGTCCAACTTCAATATTAACAATATATTTTCATTTTCATGCCACTTTTACTTTAATTCTTTTTGGAATTACTTCTCCAACAAAATGCATAAGTTTGATCCAAGTGTTAGTTTAGAAATAAACTAAATTTTTGTGAATCATAATTTATTGATCACTGGGTGGTGATGCAGATCGAATGTTATCAACCAAGTTGCAATATCTCCACTAGTCTAAGTGACTCAACATTGCGTGTACCTTGCTGATGAGTGCCATGAGACACGAAACCCAGGTCCAGGGTTTCCTGTCGACTACCTCAAACTACCATCTAATCTTGTGAATCACATGTTCTTAAGGTGTCACCATAGATGCTAAAAATGTATTATGTAAATCCATGTAGATTAAAATTAATATTTTCAAAAATGTTCATTCATTACTGTAAAGCACGATTTTTCAGGTAAGCCAGTTAACTTGATCTTCAGTATCAATTAAATAAAGTAAAAAAATACCTGTGACTGAAAGAACTTGAATACATCACTTGTAGTTATTCAAGATATCACTAATACATCGGAAATTACATTACTTCTACAACATACTGCGTGTATTACCAATGATAAAACGATAGAAGATAATATTGAACTTTAAAATTTATATTCAGTTTATCATAAATCAGTCTGGATTTAAGCAAAGATGGAAAGTTAGAAAAATCATTTCGAACTGAATATGTTTCCTTCAAATAACCTAACTAAACAAAAATTAATTCATTGGTGATTAAGAAACACACCATATCTCTAAAGGTATTGAAAAAAACAATGAGTCCCGAATTAATTACCTACTTACGCCTGTTACCCCTCGCGGAGGAGCATAGGACGCCTACCAGTATTCTCCATCCAATTCTGTTCTGGTCACTCCATTCCAGTTGATTCCGATTTCTGTTCATCTATTTGATGTCTGTTTCAAACTCCCAACACGATGTGTTTTTCGTTTAGTCTTCCTCGTAATGCAGTCTTAAACGAATCCTAAGGTGTATGTAGTTTTCAGTACTTCCTAAAACTAATTCTATTTAATTTCCAAATCTTCTCATTTTACCATGAAATAATTGTAAATTAATAATATATTTTTATTCATTTATACGGATTGTTTGAATCTTCTTGTGATTGCTTTAAAGGACTAAGTCTAATCATTCTCTTTCAGCATACATAAATTCTGTGCCACCTGAGACGAAAGATATTAAGTTTAAGTCCCGATTAAGCATCAACACATAGAGTAAGTGCATCCGCCCGATGATTCTCGCATAGGACGAAACACTCGTCTTGGATTCTACTGTTATTCATCATTAACGCTTCCTAAGACAATTGGTTTATTTCTTTACGAATCTACAAATAAAAAAGATATTTCTTTATGTCGTTTGCCTACACTCATCTTATGACTGACTATATGGGAACTGTTGTTTCAGATTTAGAACTGTAGATCGCTAATTTCAAAAAAGTCGCTTCTGTTATATCTAGAGGGTTGTTTCATAATAAGCCACGTATAATTGAGCACTAGAACGCCAAAACCCTTCCAAGTCGCAATGAGAAGGCAGAAGACTAGTGAAAGGAATATTACTCCAAAACGTGTCAAATACAGTATAAAATTGTCAGGTATTTATAGTTTTTAGTAAGAACAAAATAATCATTACAATCCTCCAATCCGCATACAGGGGGTTATTAGCATGATCCAATCGGGCAGTTACACGTAGGAATTCTAAAATATTCTTCGAAAAGGTGTTTCGATGGAATATCTTCGGCTCCTTCTGAGCCTCTTATAGCTTCCTCAAGCTCACCCGTGGTCCGTCGTCACACCTCTTCCCTTTAAAGTCTGTTGTGTAAGACTTTTTTCTCGGATCCACTTGAAACTTGGTTGCCGTATTCCTCTTGCGGTTCATTACTCTCGAGGGTTGTACAGCTTTTCCTTTGCGTCGTTTATCTCTTTTATGTTTGCGCTCCCGAGGGCTTTTCTGAGACGAATCCACGAGCAATTGGAATGGGAGTTGGCTTTGTGGGACCACTGTACTACCGTCTCTTTGCATTTTATTTATGTGTCTTATACATTTTCTGACATTTTTCCGGACTAGGTACAGTACATTTCCGATTCGACGTTCTATGATACCTGGTTTCACTTCCTATTACCTTGATACGATTTGAAAAGTATCCTTTTACCCACGTGGAAGCAACCAGTGACCGTACGATACTCATTCGTGGGTTTACTTGTCTCTTTGGGCGGCAACATACTGTTAAAGACTGTCCAGAGTTTCCTTCTGAACATACACTTGGCTGATGACTTTCATTCTGGTACTGCCAGATTAAGGGTAACTCTGTAAGACATTAGAAACTTACTGATCACTTGTTCTGGGATACCCTCGCGTCCCCCTTTGACCAGAGCTCTTTTTATCGTGTCTACGAATCTTTCCGCTTAGCCATTCGACTGAGGATGGTACGGAGGAGATTGCAGATGCAATATGCCATTTTCACTGCAAAAGCGTTTGAAAGCGGATGACATGAACTGAGTGCCGATGTCAGTCACTAAGATCTCTGGAACCGTGAAACAAACAAACAATCCTGACAATCTTCCTATTGTACTCTCTCATGTCGTTTTTGGCATGTCATATACTTCTGGTCATTTTGTGAAATTGTCGACAACAACTTCATTTATACTAAACAAATGAAATCTTAACTTTCACTCAAAATCCGATATACGCATCAGTAAACAAAACTGAACATTTTGTCATCATTCTCATTGGTCACGTTTCAGCGGGTTTTTTGAATTACAACACAAATTGAAATAACTTTGATATCCATTTCTTTTTTCTATTCTGTTATTAATATCATCAGAATCACTGGAAGATAAAATGCGCTGGTTAAAAAACTTTGAACGACTTCAAGAAATTCAATCTCAACTTATATGGCCATCAGTTTCAGAATTAGAACCAAGAGTATTCATTCCTGAATTTTTACGTCAAAGTTTAATACGTCAACCATGTGAACGATTGATTGCAAATCCCAAACGACAATTATTACATGAAGGTTTTTTAACATTAAATGGTAAGTTGAAATATATAATATTGGTAATTTTGAATTATATATTATGTAATAGTTAAATGATAGGATATAATTGATCAATGCTTAACCAAATCATCTTTCAAGTTAGATTGTGTACATTAGAAATAAAGGGAATTATATACATATAGTTCATAGCCATGCTATTCTGAATATTCTCATTAAGTGAATTACTTACTTGCTTACTTACGCCTGTTTTTCCTAATGGAGCATAGGCCGTCGACCAGCATTCTCCAATCCACTCTCTCCTGGACCTTCTTTTCTAGTTCCATCCAATTCTCGTTCATTTTTCTCATATCTATCTCCATTTCTCGGCGTAATGTATTCTTTGGTCTTCCTCTCCTCCTTCGACCTTGAGGATTCCATGTGAGGGCTTGTCTTGTGACGCAGTTCGGTGCTTTCCTCAATGTGTGTCCTATCCACTTACAGCGCTTCTTCCTGATTTCTTCCTCCACTGGGATCTGATTTGTTCTCTCCCACAGTAGGTTGTTGCTTATAGTGTCTGGCCAGCGGATCTGAAGTATTTTTCGTAGACAACTATTAATAAACACCTGTATCTTCTGGATAATGGCTTTCGTAGTGTTCCAGGTTTCGGCCCCATACAGTAGAACTGTCTTGACATTTGTATTAAAAATTCTGACTTTGATGTTGGTTGCCGATTGTTTTGAGTTTCAGATGTTCTTCAGTTGTAAATATGCTGCTCTTGATTTGTCGATCAGTGCCTTCACATCTGCATCAGATCCACCGTGTTCATCAATGATGCTGCCCAAATGTGTAAAGGCTTTTACATCTTCCAAATCTTCTCCGTCAATTGTGATTGGATTGGTGCATGCTGTGTTGTATCGAAGAATCTTGCTTTTCCCTTTGTGTACATTGAGACCTATTGCTGCTGAAGCTGCTGCTACACTGGTCGTCTTCTCCTTCCCTTCAGATGTTGATGTCTTCATGATCCAGTCGATCACCAGGAGGAAGAGAAAGGACGAGAGTAAGCAACCTTGCCTGACACCGGTCTTTACTTCGAACGACTTTGTCAACTGTCCTCCATGAACGATTTTGCAGTTTAATCCATCGTAGGAATTCCGTATGATATTGACTATCTTCTCAGAAACGCCGTAGTGTCGAAGAAGCTTCCATAGGGTTGTTCTGTCCACGCTATCAAATGCTTTTTCGTAGTCAATGAAGTTGATATAGAGTGATGAGTTTCATTCAATTGATTGTTCCACAACGATCCGTAGAGTTGCGATTTGATCTGTAGCGATCTATCCTTACGGAATCCTGCCTGTTGGTCTCGACGTTGGGCGTCTACGGAGTCCTTCATTCTGTTTAACAATACCCAGTTGAAGACTTTTCCTGGTATTGAGAGAAGAGTGATTCCCCTTTAGTTGTCACAGTTGCTGAGATCGCCTTTCTTTGGTATTTTGACTAGAAGTCCTTCTTTCCAGTCTTTTGGTACCTGTTCCTCATCCCAGATCTTTCTGAAGAGAGTTTGGAGTATCCTTGCAGTTGCCGCTACGTCTGCTTTCAGTGCCTCTGCTGGAATGCTGTCTGGTCCTGCTGCTTTGCCACACTTGATTTGTCTGATAGCCATGCTGATCTCTTCAAATGTTGGTGGGCCAATATCTATTGGGAGGTCCGTGAGTGCTGCTTCGATGTTGGGTGGTTCAGTGGGGCTGGTCGATTCAAGAGTTTTTTAAGTGTCCTACCCACCTGTTTCGTTGTTCTTCAATGGTGATGATTATCTTGCCTTCCTTGCTTTCCACTGGTCGTTCTGGTTTACGGTGATTTCCAGAGAATTTCTTTGTTGTGTCACATAGTTGTCTCATGTTTCCTTCTCTGGCAGCCTATTACGCCGTCATTGATAAATCTTCCACATATTTACGTTTGTCGATTCTGATGCTCATCTTCACTTGCTTGTTTACTTCTGTGTATTCAGCTTGTGACTTGGCTTTTTCTGCTCTTGTTCGACTGGTATTGATTGCTGCTTTCTTGTTCCTCCTTTCTTGAGCCTTATCCAGTGTATCAACCGTGATCCAATCCTTGTGATGGTGCTTCTTCTGGCCTAGAACCTCACGACATGTTGAAGTGATTGTCTCTTTTATCTCTTTCTAGTTGCTCTCCATACTAGTTCCTTCTCAATTGAGTAGACCGTGAAAGACCTGGAACTTATTGCTGAGGGTTATCTTGAATTTGTTGAGTTTGTCAGTATCCCGAAGAAGAGCCGCATCAAACATTTGTGATATTGTCCTCCCCGTTGTCCAGTGCTTCTTGAGTTTCAATTTCATCTTGACGACCAGCAAGTGATTATCTGATGCTACATCAGCTCCTCTCTAGGTTCTCACATCCTCCATTAACCTCCTGAACTTTTTGTTGATGCAGATATGGTCGATTTGGTTTTACGTAGTGTGATCCGGTAAAGTCCATGTGGTTTTGTGGATGCGTTTATGTGGGAATATAGTGTCGCCTATGACCAGTTAATTGAAGGCACATAGGTTTGCAAATCTCTCACCATTTTCGTTCATTTCTCTCAGTCCTTATCGTCCTATGATGTCTTCATATCCAGTGTTGTCCATTCCAACCTTGGCATTTAAATCTCCCATCAGAATGGTCAGGTCCTTTGTTGGGCGCTTCTCGACGATTGACTGCAGCCTATCGTAGAATTGATCTTTAGCGTCTTCATTGTAGTCGTTGGTAGGCGCGTAGCATTGGATGACGTTCATTGTAATCCCCGTTTTCTTTGTTTTGAAGGAGGCTTTGATGATCCTTGGTCCATGAGATTCTCATCCTATAAGTGCATTTTGTGCTTGTTTGGACAGCATCAATGCTACTCCTTGTGTATGTGGGGCATTTTCTTCTTCATGTCCGGAGTACAACAGCAACTCCCCTGAAGCTAGTCGTTGTTGTCCAACTTGCGTGCAGTGTGTTTCACTGATCCCAAGCACCTCTAAATTGTATCTCCTCATTTCTACAGCAATTTGGAAAACTCTTCCAGTTTTCCATATTGTACGAGCATTCCATGTACCTAAATAAATGGTTGCTCTTGTTGTCAGAAGAGACATCAGCCTCGTGACTTCCGAAGAAACTCGGCTTTCACCATGAGGCGTCATAATTCTTCTAACCGAAGATTTTCTGACTCCCAGGGCAGAGTTTAAATGGTTTGAATAATTTTTTCTGGTTAGCGTTTTTTTAAAGAGTTGGTTTTCTAAGGGATGGGATCGTTAACCCATGCCCAAATTCTCCTCCTTTATCCGGGCTTGGGACCGGCAGTAGATTTCGGAGGGACTCCAGACGGAATTCATCCAATGAATTACCATTAACGTAATAGTTTTATACAACTGAATTTAGATCGTTTTATGGTATCGCTCTATGCTTTACGAAAATTTAAACAACAAAACAAATCATTCAGTAATGACTTATCTTATGCCTGTCTACTTATTTAGTAACGATTGAATTCTATCGACTACTAGTCGAAGTGACTCAACATCATATAAATCACTGTTCAGAAGTTAGATAGTTGGAAGTGGTTAAGTGGAAATTGAATAAAACTTTGGTAATCACATATTTCACTCATCAACATTAATTTAAAATATTACTGGTTTAACCGTTTGAATGTAGTTTCATTAACTGGAGCGCACTAAACGAATACCAAAAATGAGAATGATAGAGAATTACTCTAATCCAATACAATAACTGTTAATGCTTTCTTATTAATTTTTACAAACAATGACATTAACCAAAGCACAAAAACAACATTTCATGAAAAATAGAATCTGGAGAAAATATTTGTTTAGATGAAATCACTGAAGATTACTAGACAAAGGAAATATTTCTGATTAAATGACAGTTGAATTCTTCAAAACATTGAACATTCTGGTTGAATTTACGTATAAACCATCAACATTTGCACTGTATCAGACGACTTTATTTACACTCTACATTTAAGAAATACTGTAATATACTTTCGTTCAGGTTAATATATCACATGATATGATCGCCAATCAGAACACCGACTTACTGACCAAACCAATCACGTATAAAACAGTACAAGCAGTCCAAAGTCAACTCTAGGTTCTTAGTGGTCCACCAAGATAGTAACTTCTCTCCTAACCAAACAGGCTTAGTCCAGAACACCAATATCAGCATCCGCTATACGAATCATATATTTCAAACACACAGTTTATATACAAACAAACCAAACCGTATCATGCAATAAAATAGAAAATAACAGTTAAAGAAGATCGAGTCAAAAAGTGGCTGTGGTTGTGAGACTGTTATTAATAAATTGAGAATATGTTAAGAATAGTAAATCGTATAATAATGGTCAATAGGTCAAATAAAAGTTTATAATAAAAGAAATATGAATATGCACATATTATAGTTATTTAATTGTTATACAATAAGAATGAACATATATATAATGATAACTCACAAATAGATCCTAGTGTAGTGTGAATTATTATGTTAAGCCCATATACTTTATTCTGGCTTTCGGACAACTCAACTATTCATTCTATTTGAGTCATATTTTCACCATGTCAATTATTCACTTATCAATCTTGACTGTTTTTATATGAGAGCGTAGTTGTGTGTACACTTCCCATACCATTACTCATCACATGTCTGTAACTTATTTTTGTGTGACTATAAATATTCATTAACGCTTGGTTAAAAGGCGAGTTGGTTTACCCGCCATTTCCACTGCGCGTCGTTTCGCTTTGCTTTGCTTCTTTCTATTCCATTCGCTTCATATACAACATATAAGTATTTAAAAGTCCATTCTCGTTATTTGACTTATTTAATCCCGTTATTCACTGAACGTGGATTAAGTCGATAAAGACATACGAGGATAAGTGACATATCCAATTCAATAACAATCATTCATACGATCTACTTGGAGTCAGATCTCGAGCCACTAAAGTGGAGAGCCCGTCAACAAACATTGTCCGATCTAAACGACAACAACACTAGCATTTATTATTCACTTATTCTTCGTCCGAATACAACATATATTTATACACCAATGTAGTAAATGAGAACACAAGTGGGGACATTTCGATGTAATTAAACACGAAATTATAGATTCGCTTAGTAAAATCTAAGAACCATACAGTAAATATTTAATTTACAAAATGTCAACCAATCGTCACAAACTTGATTGTTCCTTTTGCAAATATCAGTCAGTCGTCTCAGACTTCATTGTTCCTACATTTCCATATTAATTGCTTTCTGTTTCTGTTCTTTCCTTTTCAACCTTATGCTGCCCGACATTCTAATCCTGACTATCATTATATACTATTTATGTGTCAATATGAGCTGATGAAAACAACATTACAATTAGACAGTATTGATTTATTGATTTATTCAACCACAATCATAATGTATTCAATGTTCTGATCAGTTTAACCTATCCGACTAAATGATAAAGTAGTTAATCGATACTTTGAAACAAATAAAGAAATAAAAATGCATCATTTTTGTTTGAATGTATTAAAAAGTAACATTTATTATTTTAATTTATTTTAGATGGAACTAAAACTATTGAAATATTTGCTTTTTTGTTTGATGATTTTCTCCTGGTTACACGAATTAAAAAGCCACCAAAAAAGGTAAATAATAAAATATATATACAATTGATTATAAATATAAGTTATTCATTATTTGAATGACAAAATTATGTTTATTGTCACGTAAATCAGTAGAAGCATTGAATAACATTCAATGATTTGAATAAAATGAAGAGATAGAATAAAAACTATTATTAAAACATAGACAATAATAAGGAAAAAAATGGATAGTGGCTAGCATTAGAATTCAAAACGCTCGTTTCGTCCTATTTGGGACTCGTCAGTTGGATGTACTTATATCTCAGAATTGATTTTCATTCTAGGACTTGAACCCAGTATTATTCGCTTTAAACATCATTGAGTTATCCACTTAGTTACTGAGTCCTTATAACCACTTGCTTGTAGAATGGGGTGAAGTTTAAATTCCCATGTTGTTGTTTTACTTGTATCTTCCCATTGTTATTTAGGACTGCAATTGATTAGTCTCATGTTGGTATATGTGCATCCTGTCCGGATTGCCTTGATATAGCCTTAAGTCACAAGAATTTTCAAGCAAAGATGGATGTTGGCTAGCAGTGGAATCCAGGACGCGTATTTCGTCCTATTCGGGGCTCGTCAGCTGGATGTACCTTCATCGTAGAGTTGATGTTCACTCCGGAGCTTGGACCTACTACCGTTCGCTTCAAACGCTATCGCGTTATGCTCTTAGCTACTGAGTCCTGATATCCACCTGTTTGTGCAATGGAGTGAAATTTAAACTCACATATGCTAATATGAGACTGATCAATTACAGTCTTAAATAACAATGGACGACCGTTCCGTCCTAGCAGGAGACTGCTCAGCAGTCTAAGTGTAGTGAACGAGAACTCGGGTGGGGAACAATCGGATGTATTTGACGACAAATTACAGAACTTGTTAATAAAATCTAACAACCATATAGTAAATGCTCAATTTGCAAAATGTCCATCAATTGTCTCAAAATGACTCAGACGTCATTGTTCCTGCATTTTCATACGAATTGCATTCTGTCGTTATTCTTTACTGTTCGATCTTCTTGTCTCTCTGCTGCTAGACATTCTGTTCACGACTAACATTATATACTACTCGTGTCTACATAAGTAGCACATACCACGCTAGGTTTGAGTCCCGCGTGCGGGATCATGGGTACGCACTGCCCAGAAGTCCGATATTTTATTTATTTCAATGATTTACAATTGTTGTCCTCAGATTTAAAAAGTAGTCCATTAGAAATTCTGGGCCTCTTGTTTTTTAACAATATAGATATCTCAATAAAATCTCCTTTATTTTATATTTTCTTTTAAAATCAATAATTTGTATAACAACCGATTACAGTCATATGATTTTATAATTCGCTTACAGTCCATAATGAATTCAAGTTAAACTAATACGGTTGTAGGCATATTTTCTCTTCAAGTCTGTCTCTTGAAAATGCAATAGTCAATCCCAATGGAATTCATTCATCGAGTACATTATTTTTAAAAAAATGTACCAAAAATGTAAAACTGGTGAGAAACATTCATTATGACAAATGAAAGATATCGTATCTTGGTTAAGTTACATTTGATTGATCACTGGGAGGAGATGAATGTCATGTATGTCAGGTCCTTCTTAGTACAGAACACATCCTATTGACCAAATTACAATGTGGCCACTAGTTTAAGTGACTCGATATTGCGTGCAGTATGTTGAGATAAGATGGTGGTTGAAGGTAATCAACTGGGCTACCTGTTGAACTTATCTTCTATTGATATGTTTTTAAGAATTCACAAGTTAAGTTGCTATAGAATAGGAATTTGTTGTATTATCTTATATTTCATGCTACGAATCGTTTATTTTAATTAAACTTATAAGACACTGAATAAAATATGAGAAAATGTCAAACATTCTTAGAACTATTCACAATAACCTTCATGAACTGTTGGTTTGTAAGTTTTCAAGTTATCACTTCGAAATATTTTTTTTTAGAATTGTCTATAAAAGCTCTTTTCCACACATAAGTTACCATCATTCCCGATAATATACAGTGCTTCGTAAGTTACGCTTAGTCATTATAGTCTGCATAGGTAAATATCAGCGGCCTGAGATTAAATATCAAAAGTTCAAATATGAAGTACGTAGGGAGGATATCATGTTGTTTAAATTTAGCATTTCTGTTTTAACATTTAAACTCCACCCTGATATGTATTTAATATTCACGAAAGACTTTCTCTAACAGTATTTTTTCCTATTCTAGACCCGTTCTTGATTGTCATCTTTAGAAACAAAATAAAAAGTTAAAGAAAATTTCGCACTAAAAACACAAAATTTAATTCATTTTTATTTATAGGCTATATTTATCAAAGATTGATTTCATCTGAGGTAGCATTGAAAACCAAGAATCACTGGACAGCAATTTAATGCTGATATAGGATTCTCTAAAAGTGTGCAGTCACATACTCTCTAGAGATTTAACCCAAGACATTTATGTATACCTAAGAATACTTAATCGTAGGAATCATTGTCTTGGCATCCATTTACAGTTAGGTCATCTATACACCAAACACCTCAAAGCACTTGTTCCATTTCTATGTATCATAACTTTCACTAGGTTCCTAACGAAGAGTGGCCCATTCTTATATTGTCATTATACTTGACTGTTTCAAATTAAAATATAAACAAAAATTTTCTTATTCAGTTGATAGACTCAATATCAGGCACTAGCTTACTTAGCTTGTAGTATCGGTTACTATGTTAAGCCCATATAACTTATTCTAGCTTCTGAACACGCCAATTTATCCATCCATCTTGAGTCACGTTTTGACCTTGTTAACTATCCATTTATCAACCTTGATCGTTTTTATATGAGGGTGTGTGTGTACATTTCTTGTCCTATTCATCAGATGTCTGTAACTTGTTTTATCTAGCCATAAATATTGGTTAACACCTGGTTAAATCAAGTTGGCATACATGCCATCTCCACTACGCGTCATTTTGCTTCGCATACTTTTCTTCGCTTAATCCCTCTGATCGTCTGTCCAGATCAATGAGTGTATAAAATATACGTATTCAAATATCGATTCTCATATTTAACTTATTAATTCCCGTCATTCACCAACGCGATTTAAATCGATGATCATATACAAGAATAATCAGAATATATATTTCAATAAAGATCATTTGTCTGATCTAACTGGAATCAAATCCCAGGCCACCAAAAATTATAATCCATATATCTTACAAATGTAACAAGTTTCATGACCATTCCAAACATTTGATAGGAGGAGCCTAATAAACTGGTCAGTATAAAAATAATCACGCCATCCGACATAAATGATTAATGCATTATCCAGGGAAGAATACAAATGGCTATTTTATAGCTTCATATTTGCTTAATGAAATATCGAATTTACGTTTAATGTAACTAAATAACTTGGTATAGAGTCATACGTCTAGTATGGAGTCCTGGGTCACTAAAAGTTATAAACATCTGGTAGAATACTATTATTTATATAAAGTTTTCCTTATGAAAGTAGTATACTGATTATAAAACAGAATATGTTGATTTAAGCAAAAATTGACCAGTGGAGTTCAACCAGGTCTGTTGTGGGATAGTAAATCACTGAAGACAATGGTGGATGTGTCGCTCAGTTTCGTGGATTAGTTGAAGTTAGACATTAACACCGTTGGATGCCGGCTCAGTTGTCTAGTTGTTAAGTGCTCGCGCGCGAAACCAGTAGGTCCTGGGTTCGAATCTCGCAGGGAGCGAGGTCGTGGATGCGCACTGCTGAGGAGTCCCACAACAGGACGAAACGGCCGTCCAGTGCTTCCAGGTTTTCCATGGTGGTCTAGCTTCAAGTGACTCATGATCTTAATCATTGAAAAATTGATATTCACTTAAATATTTGTTGATATTAAATACCGTAATAAACATAACATGAAATATTCCAATAGTTTTTAACATACTTATAAATTGAATAGATCTTTGTATTATTTTAGAAATCATTTTCAGAAAATCCTTTAGCTGGTCGTAGTCTAACAGAAGGTGGAGTATTTGTTGTTTATAGACAAGTGATAGCACTTGATCGTTTTACAATTCATGATTTAGGAATTGTTGAAGCAACCGGTAAGTGAATGTTGTCTTCTTTTATAAATTAAATTAATCTTTTTATTTGTAAACTACAGATTTGTATAATAAGTTGTTTCTGTTTAAGTTCACAAGGTAGTGGCTATTTGGACTCAGTAGTTTAATGGATAATGTAATGGTATTTGAAACTAAACAGTATTGACTTCAAGTCCTGGAGTGAATATCACCTCTGGAATGTGACAGATGCATCCAGCTAACGAGATACGAATAGGGGTAGATGCGCTTCCTGGTACTTAAATGCTAGAGTCCATTACCAAGTCTATAAACGTTTCTGTAAATGAAAAACACTTAAAATTTGTATTTAATCTATAATACGATTAGCATGATCATGAATAATGTCATATAGCAATATAGATTTTTATGATATATTACTCTAATTTATGGTAACCTATGTAACTCTTCCTATCATTAAAGAAACAGATCAAGATAAACTAAAGATATGACAAAGTGTAAATCACATCGCCTCATAGTATATGACTGAAATTTTCCTCTTTAGATAAATATCTTATTCTATAATTAAATTTGTGTTGTATATTTCATTCTTTCACTTCTCTTTATATTCGGCTTTTCATAACATGTACCATGTTAACTCACGTTAAAATATCGTTTATTTCCAATTACATCCTATAGCATTATTGTAAACTTATGATAATATGAAACGCTGCTATGACAATGACAGTCGGAAAATCTCTTACCTTTGATAGTTTCTTGTTTATTATAAACTGATAACTAATATAGACTTTCTGTAAACCTAAGTGATAAAGTGTTGTTCTGTCCTATTTTAGGTCATATGATAATAAATGTCCATAAATTCATAAATAGACAATGCTAAGATTATATTAAAATAAAAAGCATTTCTGATGTGATAAAAATTTCATAGTGATTTAGAAAATATGAGATATAAACCAGGTTAGACATTAAAACCGTTTGATGGCGACTCATTGGTCTAGAGGTCAAGAGTTTTTCGCGCAAGACTGAAGGCCCTGGGCTCGAACCTCGCGAGTGGGGTCGTGGATGAACAGTGTTGAGGAGTCCTACAGTAGAATAAAACGACTATCCAGTGCTTTCAGTCTTTTAATGGTGGTCTAACATCAATCAGTTCATGATCTTAATCAAAAACTTAATAATATCCGCAATTCTATACTGACAAACCTACCATGAATAAATAACGGATTAAATGAAAAGATGGTTGAAACTATGTTGTATGAAGTGGATTTCATTGTTATTTTGGCGAAGATAAGTAAGATACTATCAACTTTTAGATTAATTAAAAAGATTATTGTGTGATTTACTTTTCCATAGAATGAAATAAAGCTAGTTTATAGTTTCGATATCTTTCCGCCTGGAGTCCTTCTTGGGCTACTTCAAGTCCTAAGCCCGGATAAAGCAGAAAGGTTGGGTATGGGGTTAGCGACCGCATCCCGTAGAAAACTAACTCGTTAAAAAAATGCTTACCAGAAAAAAATAATTATGTACGTATGATATCTTTCCACTATAATTGATCAATCTAAAAGTGTGTGTGATTCCATCTTGAATGTCTAAAAAAATATTACATGATCAATATTTGTAAGAAAACATTATTAATGCATATGTTGAGAAAACGTTGAGTGGATAACATGGATACATAATGAATAAATGTATGAATCTATAGTGATTACAAGTTATTTTCATCAGTTGAATCTATTAGATTAACAATTTTCCATACGAGTTTTTAGTATTTCATTTAAAGAAACATTCATTTGAAACATATTTCTAGGGTCTTGTGTTCAAATGATGAAAACTTATGTGTAATAGATACATAAATTGTATTAATCGTTGTTCACTTTTTATCATGGTATGAATCATAGAAACTCTTTAAGATGTCTTTAAATGTTTAGCGATATATGGGGAAGCCTTCAGTGGTTTAAGATTTTCCGCATGCCATTTTATTTTTACCAAAGCCTTATTTATAGAATAGATAAAATGTGCTTAGCATTAGAATCCATTAATTTTCATTTGTCTAATTTAAGATTCGTTAACTAGATGTATCTACTACATTATAGAGTTGATGATCACTCAGGGACTCGAACTCAAACGACACTGCTACTGAGCCAAGATAACCGCTTGCTTGTGTAGCGGGTATATTTAATTCAATTTGAAATGTTTGCATTGTTTGGTTATTAATACTTTTGAATGCGGTTAGATCAATCTATTTTTAACGAACTTCTTTGATAATAACTATATCGAAGCAGTCGTTACAGGATCTCTATATGCCACTGAAGATTGGTCGAATTCCAGTCAAAAATATCAACAACGGGATAATCTATACTATTTCAAATTAAATTATAGCCTTCCTTAGTTAGTTGTTGATAATGGAAATATTACTGAAGTCCTTACCCTTAACATCTCCATCGAGGTATAATGTTTGTTAACAACAATCATAACTTTCTTCAAGGTTATATCAATTAAACAGATACATGGGCTGTGCTACGGTTTGTTATAAAGTGCTAACGTTTAAAGATTGGTTGATTAGATGTCAATTTACAGCATTGTTTACTCACATATATTTGGGAAGTTTAACATTTTCATATACAATTAAGAATGATGAAAAAACTCACATTGATAGTTAACGAACAATCTTAGAACTGGTTATTCTTTATTTCATTTCTATGTCGAACTCATGGTTATATCTTTAGTTAGCCAACCGCCAAAAACAGAAAGCACTAGACAGATGTTACGTCTTTGTTTGACAACAAGAACCTAGGATCTCAAGTTCAATACATGGCGGGATCGTAGATGGACACTACTGAGAAGTTCCATACTAAAAAGATACATAAGTTCAATGCTTCCTGGTTTTAGATTACTACTTAACTAAGGATAGTTCATGGTGTTAACGATAAAATCTAACAATCTGCAAAAACCCCTTATACTGTACAATGGATCCATTTCAATATACTGATTCTTTTTAAAAGTTGTTTTGCTATTAAATATTAAAACTGATGTTCAATTGAAGAGTCATGAATTAAATAATTAAATCATTTAAACATTATACCGCCAAGTACAAATTCATAAAAAAGAACATTTTATTAAACACTGTACTATGGTACGACTATAAACGACTACTAATCCAATGAACATAGATCTGCCTAATTATAAATATACATTTAACCTTAAATTGAACTGTAAGCTATCGTCTAACAGTTGTTATAAAGTTATTGAATGAAATTATCATTAGGTGCTTACCTATTTAGCTTAAAGCCTATTAGTGTAAACTCATTTTGTATTGTTTGAAGATTCAAACAAACCCCATTACAAAAGTTAGTGGCTATCAGGACTCAGTAGCTAAATGAATGATGAGATGGCATTTGAAGAGAACGGTACTGGGTTCGAGTGCCTGAGTAATTATCGACTCTGGGATACAGGTATGTTCAGCTGACGAGTCCCAACTAGGACTATTAACCACCATCCATCTTTGCCTGATAGTTTAGATTAAAAAGATTCAATAAATGTATTGATCAGCTACAATATTGAGAAATAATGGTAATATAAAAAATAAAGCATAAAATGTAGGACAAATGCAGGACTCAATGAGAAATTACCCAATATTTGTTTTAATTGATGAATTGAATATTAGAATAATCTTGGAAGATTGCAGTGTGATATCTGTACATTGTAAACACTTTTGTGAAATGTCATTCTTGACAGTCAAATGAAGAAATAAGATAACACACCTGCCATTTGGAGTTTTACAAAACCTATAAGTAAAGCTTTTGCAAAACATTGAAGTGATTCTTACACTAACTAAATATGAAAGATACCCATTTGTTTTCTTTCTATTCATCTATCCTTTTTCTCTACTTTTTGCCCAACTCTATTGCAATACATTATTCTTCCCCACAAAAAAATGATAATGATTTAAATGTTTGTTCTAATGTTTGTTAGATTTTATTACCCACGCCTACACAAGCATGCCGACAAAGCACACGTTTTTTTTTACACTTACTTTATGTAATCCCGATTACGATCACCAAATGTTTATTATTATTATTATTATTATTATTATTATTATTATTATTATTATTATTGTAGTTATTATACTATTCAATTCCATATTAACTTTATCGTAATTTGTCTATGTATGCTAATGTATGATATTCATTGCAATGACATACTTCATAATTCAACTTATGTTGACAAGTATCCTCTTTATAGTATATAATTAATCCATTGAAAAATCTGTTGTTTTTTTTTCATTACACTTTGTAATATAAATATACATAGCTAATGGATTACGAAATGCAATTGTACTTGTGCTGATAACACGATTTCAACAGATTACAGGTGTTTACACCCTACAAGCAGCAAATGAATTAGATAAAGTAAGTAACATAAATTATAGTAGGTTATAACTTAAATACAAACATGTGTAAAATATCTATTGTTAGTTCTCATAAAATACCAATATATTTTTCTCTATAAGAATATGTATTAGAATGATTTGTATTGTTTGTTAACAATTGGACATAAGCTTAGTTGTTAACCTAATAATGTGTAATTAAGATGTTTGGACATGTGGGATCCCTGTACCTGCCATCTAGATATATCAACAACTTATCCAATTTTGTTTGCTTTAATACATCATTGTGGCTATTTATCGCATAACCTATTCAGGTACGTTTCTGAAAAACTATACAACTTTTCATTGTACGAGTTACAAATAAGCCCAATCACAGATATCGTGGTTGCTGGCATTATTCAGCGAAAAGAATGTACATTATTTAGATGTCAATTGACTGAACTGTTAACATCTAACTAGCGATCTCTCAATATTTATCGTTAGTATCGGCCAAGAAATAAGAAACAGAAACTTGTTGAAATACTTTGTGTTGAGAATTCTATGTTGTACCAAGAATAGAATATTGAATAAAGCCAATAATAATGATAATGTTCATTTATTATGGTCTCCTCTCATCGTATATTTACTGCACTACATTATTGTCACTTTGATAGAAAATGAGCAACAACCTACATTCTTCATCCGTAAAATGCTTATAATCATTACAAAGCATTCAGATGTTCTTAATCATTTCTTATTTCAGATCATATTATCAGATGAATGTTTTAATCGTTTGCCCATTACTGATCTTCCATTATTAACTAATACAATGAATTATTTATTATTTTATCTAACCCATTTTAGTGAGGTAGCTGCAGGTGATAGATTTAAACTGAAGTTGACAATTTATGTTAACTGAAAGCTATTGAATATCATGAAGTGCTAAATTGCGGTTTCTTACTCGTATGAAACTGTTCGGTATACATTATCCAATGCAATTTCTTCCACGAAATCCTATAACTCTATTAATGTATGTAAAGACTAGGTACATGTGTTACTGTTAACTCCGGAATATTAAAGAAATATATCCTTCAGTAGTATGCATTCAAGTACATGAATGTAAGCAGTCTACTGCTAGCCATATTCCATCTACTTTCATACTAAATTATGTTGTGATTGGCTGTATCCACGTAATCCTCAGAGGCCAAGCATATTACAACCACGACTGATGGAAATCCAGTCAAAATATCAACAACAGGATAATTCGATTCACTTCAAATTGAATATTTTGAAATGGTTTTCCAAAGAACTCCTTTTAACGTTCAATAAATTATATAGATCAGAATTGTATTCGATCATAGTTAATCATCCATTAGAAAACCGATGATGTCTCTATTATAATCCATAAAATTTATCCAATCCCACAAACTTCCTACATTAATTTATTTAACTGTAGTTTTTTTATTCAGATTTTTTTCAAAATGTGGAGATAGTTTCATCATGGTGTAATACTTATAATAATAATAATAATAATAATAATAATGGCTAGTTAGAGAACCATTTAAAAAACCAACTGACAATGGGCAATTTTATTCCTATTGCCTGTGATAAACCATCAGAATATGAATTTCAACCAAATCCCTTTCGGGTTCGACAAAAATACGATAACATTAAGTTTGGTTGACGAAATCTAGCAGTTCACGTATTTCAAATTTTTGTTAAAACAAAATTGTATGATCAGAAACGGGTTTTGTGGATATTATAGTAATTTAAAAATTGAATTCACGGGTCAATTGAAGCTAGATTACCATGGAAAACCTGGGAGCACTGGACGTCCGTTCGTTATAGTATGGGACTCTTCAGCAGTGCGCATCCATGACCCCTCTCGTGAGATTCGAATCCAGGACCTATCGGTCTTGCGCGCGAACGCTTAACCTCTAGAGCACTGAGCTGGCTGTCATCCAACGGTGTTAATGTCCAAATTTTCCATGGTGGTCTATTTCTGTTGACCCATGAATTCAACTATTAAAAATGTATAAATAAATGTACTATTTTATTTTTTAAAAAGCTTCTCATCTGCCTCTAATATTATGAGTCTAGATTAACATGATCATACTAGGTTTCAGCCAAATAATTGTTTTCAAAACTATAGGACTAAACTTTAAATGGATACCATGCAGTATAAACTTAAATCAACTTGTAGCTTAAATGAAATTATAGGATTAACATAGATCGAAAGGAAAAAATACAACAATTAATAATCGAACTACATGTCCCACTCACTATTACATTATCTACAATATGAATTTGGTTATAATATTGAGGTAAGTGCTAAATGTTTTAACTTGTGGCCTTGTGCCCTATTAATGTAGGACGTAATGATACCAGCAATTAGAGAACAGTGAGTTGTCGACCGTAACAATGACGCATAAAACAAGTACGAGCAGACTTGAGTCTTTATCGGTCCTTCTTTCTACCTAGCCCTGACTATTGAATCCAGAACACCAATCTCAGCCTCTGCGAAACAAATCAGGTATTTTAAACATACTGAGTTGATATACAAACCAAACAGACCACATCACAGAATAAAATAGAAAATAACATTTGTATAAGATCTAGCCAAAAGTGACTGTGATTGTGGGAGACTGTCATCAATAGACTGGGCAGAACTCAAGAATAACAAATCGTGTGATAATAGTCTGTAGGTCAAAATAAAGCTCATAATAAGTGAATCATGAATATGCATAGTTTAGTTACTTAACAAATATACAATAAAAAATATACTTATAGTATAGTCAAAAGAAAGGAAATATGTACATTGAGGTATGTTTGTAACACAAATGAATACTAACGTATTGGGTGTGATAACTCAGTGCAAAAAGTTTTCAGTATAAGTATAATCATGACTTTTTCAATCATATCATCTTCATTAGCCATTGTAGACTATTTCAGTGACGTGATATATGACCCCAGTTAAACCATATACTGATTGTTATCAAAATATACATATCAACAATCTTTGTATATTTTTATCAACTTCATTTGCATTAGAGAATAAGAAATAAGTTAGATACAAGAATGTATTTTGAATACGTATATTTCATACATTTATTGATCTAGGCAAACATTAAAAGAAACGAAGTAAAAAGAGTGAAATAAAACAAGACAAAGTAATGCTCAATCAAGAAGACATATGAATCAACTTGTTTTAATCAAATTTGACCCAATGTTTATATTCAGACAAAATTAAATTATAGACATATAATGAATAGGGCAAGTAATTAACATACATAAGATCAGAAGGGATTGTGTGGAGTTTTTAGAAATTTCACTGGTTGAAATCATGAATCCATTGAAGCTAGACCACCATGGAAAACCTGGAAGATCATTAAAAAAAAGTCATGGTTAATAAGCCAACATTCAACAGGGTCATAATATTGTTTAAGAAGAATGAAGAGATTAATCTGTTCAAGGCCAAGAATAACCTAAATGGGATTGATATTAGTACCAGTCACTACACGATCTATTTCAGTTTATATGATTTCGTTAAACAAACACACATTTTTAGACTTTATTTCATTATTGTTATTATTATTATTATAATAACTATTACCATTATTATTACTATTATTACCATTACTATTATTTTTATTACTATTATTACTATTACTACTATTACTATTACTATTATTACTATTACCATTATTATTATTACTATTATTATTATTTAATTCTTTTAGCAAAGATGGATTGAAAAATTACGTAATAGTCAACAAGCATTTCAAGAGAAATTAAAACGTAAATTATACGGTATTGATATGGATCAACATACAAATAAGCATAGTAAATTAATTAATGCTAAAAATAAACTACCTAATCAAACATCAATAGCTGATGATTATTTAACTACTAGTTTATCATTAGGTATAAAAGATACAAATGATAAATTCAATAAATCAACTAATTTATATGAAACGGATATTATTGATCAAAAGAATGTAGAACAATCATTGAAAAATTTAACTAAATCTAAAACAATTCAAATAGACCAACCACAACAACAACAACAGGAACAACAACAAGAACAAGGTGATAATAATTCACAAGAAGATGATCATTCAAATGAAATGATAAATACAATGAATACATCACAAATAACTAATGTTGAAGGAAATTATGCAACAGTAAATAATACTGTTATTGTTAATACACCGGATAGAAATAATAATACTGAAAATTTGGAATCAGGTAATACTTTATCTGGTAATATAGATTATTCATCTGATGAATCGATTTCAAATAATAATAATATAAGATCAAATGATATTTTATCATTGCATAATAAAAATCCAGATTATATTATTCGAAATAGACATAGTCTTGATCCAAATTTTGCTACATTAAACATATCTGATAGTAAATATTCTGATTCGATTAGTATAACTAGTTCGTCATCTGTAACAATGAATTCATCAAATACACATATACAAATTACACCAATAACAGAGAAACAAATAGTAGCACCAATATTTTCACCACCTAGTTTATTATTATTTGATCGTGTTACACAACATAATGAATTTCCTTATGAAATGACAAGACAAGTACAATTTTCTCCACCATTATCACCAATATTACATGCACCTTGTGCAAGTCTACCATTGGATATAACAGCAGAAAGTGCATACGATTTATCAGATCGATTGTTGTCAAAGATGAATATCAAAGATGATTCTTCTAAATTAAATAATTTGATTAACAAAAGGTTAGTATGTCACACATCATCTTATTTAATAAATCAATTTTTTTATAGAATGAATGCAACGTTGAAATTATTTACGTTGTTTAACCCACTTTCATGAGGATGAATTTTGTCGATCTAGTAGTAATATGGTCACTAGACTATGTGACATAATAAGGTTTGCTATTTGATGTTAAGTCGTTAAACTATCTGACAACAAATCAGAGACTAAGCCTAAACACTTCAAGAAAGTATATCAATAATTCAGAGAAAGCTGATACTCTCTGTGGGATAAAAACATACTTCATTTTGTCTCACCACTAGAGATGTTTCGATTACATCATTACATCATTTAATCGCAAACGATAATGTAATAACATTTCATCTGGTCCTGATATTTAGTAGAAGTTTCTTCCTTAATGCTAAAACCTAACTGACAAGTACTAAACCTGTATAAAACCTATCCCATCAGTTTCCTGTTCATTGCCTAATCTTCATTTAGAAAAACCAAATGGTAGAAATAAGAGAACAAAAATAATCTTATTATTTTGAGCAAAAACAATTATTCATAAATAAGTAGGAATTAATTAATAAATTCAATGTTAGAATTGTTAAAGGTTTACACTCTACTTATAACAGTTTTAAATAAGAGTCAATTAACATATGTTTGTACAACGTTGAATATTAAACTTAACCAACGGTTCCTTACTGGTTGGTAAGCAGATATATACCATGCTTAAGCACGAGAAACGATTTACCTGAAATGAATAATATTTCCAAATAGCAAGAGATTGGTATATCTGACTAAAGGTTAGACATATTCTTCATATTGTTGTGAGGATGGCTCACTGGTAAAATCTAAGAAGCTCAGAAAGAGCCGAAGATATTCCATCCAATCGTTTTTTGGAAGGATATTCCAGAATCCCTAAATGTAGCTTCCCTATTGGACAAACGTCAATAACCCCCTGTATGCGGATTAGAGGACTATGATGATGATTTTGTTTCTACTAAAAACTATAAATACCTGACAATTTTGTACGATAATTGACACTGTTAACAATAGCATTTATTTCACTTGTTTTCTGTCATCTCATTTACAACTTGGGAGTATGCTAGCGTTCGAATGCTCAAGTTGTACATAATAGATTAAGAATCTAAGCTCTAAATATAACAGTCGTATTTAAAACAGAAGTTGTTAACGGACTAGTATTAAATATTTTGATTGTATGATATCGGTTTGACATAACAGTATCGGTGTAGTGATTTACTATAGTTGCTTGTAATTAGCCTACACCATTAATAGTATCCATGATATTTCGTAATTTTGACAACATTCATAATTGTAAAATTCCAATGACCGATTATTATTATTATTATTATTATTATTATTATTATTATGTTTACAAGTTAAAATATTAACACATTGATAAATTGGAAAAGTAGAATAAGAAAGAATGTAGTACGACATGTTGTATATTACCTAAATAAATCAGATTATAGGATCATATAGAAAGTAATGAATAGTTATTAACTTATTTCATGCAATCAGTTCCCTTTACGAATTTAAATAAAGCCAAAACGAACATTGATGCAGAATAATATGAATTCATTATATTTCATGGTTCCTAATCAGCCGCTTACAACTGAATATGTATTAGAATTTTACATTGAGGTAAGATATAATGTGGAACAATTGACATAAGTGAATATAAATAATTGTCCCTAGATGCCCTGGTACGGCCGAGAGTGGGGAGAGTCAGCTCTCCCTCTCCAAATGATCTCGCATCGCCACGTTCATAAAATCACTTCCAGAGAAGTCCTACTTACTGCCTTCCCGCATCAGGGATGTTGTTTACGAAATCGAGAGGACGAAAAGCGAATGTCCGGCGCTTTAACCAGGTTGGTGGACACGAAGAGTTCATATAGGGGAGTTGGAAAGCCATGATTCTAAATCAATGGTGCACATAGGCTGCAGAATCCAAAAGGAATAATTAGAGTATGAACCAATCGTTGGTCACCGGTTACCATGGAACTGCATCACCTGACGTTGCTTCACTGCCTTATGGTCAGAGGCTCCGGCCCTCCAATTCTTTTTATTCACTTGTGTCAATTGTTCCGTACTATTACTTACCTCAATATAAAATTCTAATATTATATGTATTATATTTATGGTTGTAATCAGCTGATGAGAAACCATAAAATATAATGAATTCATATTATTCGTTTAGTATCAATCACTTGATCTTATATGTAAACGATCCGAAAATTTTAGAGATAACTTTCAATAGTATAATCTGTTAATAAATAAATTTTTAATCAAAAGTTACTTTCTTTGAGTTTTAACAAATCATTGAATGTCAACTCTCCATTCAATCTTTCATTGACTTCTTTTCATAACTTATAACAAAAATTAAAGTTATGAATTTTAATAGTAAACAAATGATGATAAGTATGCGAATTTGTGGAGTTCGTAGCACTTTCATTTTGAATTCACGGATCTATCTAAGCCACACCACGGTTGAAGACCTGGTAGTACTGAACGGGTGTTTTGTCCTAGTATAAGACTCCTCAGCAGTGTGCATCCACGATCACTCACGCGTGACTCGAACCTTCGATCCCTCCCGCGGGTGCCTGAACTTTAGACCACTGTATTCAATGATGTTAATGTCTAACCTCAATCAATCCATGATCTTACGCATGCTTGCATCTAGTGGTGGATGAAATGATCTATTAAATAAGCCGATATTGTGATTTCAATTACCCCTACAGATATTTATATTTATGCTTGATATATTTACAGATTTCTTATAACTTTTCAACAAGAATACCAAAAGATAATAATTATCTTTCATACAACAGTTATTTAATAAAACTGGTAAATTTTCTGGTTTGAAATATCGGTGAGACTATAATTTATGGACGACCCTTGAGCGACTCTGGAGTTATCTTGAGAGTGAATACCTACTGATTAGGACTAAATCAGGATTAGTAAGCAGTTAGAATTCTCATTTACAGTTGATGGTTAGGGTTAAAAATTAGATTTACGGTTTCCATCGCGAACCGGCATCAGCTACAGTGCCAAAACTGTATTTAATCAAATGTATAGATGAATTTCGCGCCGAAATTCATGACTCGTTATTTTATATCTGATTGTTTCATTCATAAATTATAGTCTCGCCAAACTATCTAATTAACTAACTAAATGCATATTAGAACGGTTTTTGTGGATATTATAGTAATTTCAATAGTTGAGATCATGAACCAGTTGGAGATAGACCAAAATGAAAAACCTGGAAGCACTGGATTGCCGTTTCCTCACATTGTAGGACTCCTCAGCAGTGCGCGTCCATGACACCAAATCGCGAGATTCGAACACAGGAACTATCAGTCTCACGTGCGAACGCTAAACCTCTAGTCCACTCAACTGACCGACATCCAACGGCGTTAATGTCTAAGTTCAACTAATCCAGGAAATTGAGTGACATCCACCATTGTCATCAGTGAGTTACTATCTCACAACAGACCTGGTTGAACTCCACTAGTCACTGCTTCTCCCTGACTCATGATCTCAACTATTAAAATTAACTGCATATTACTTTATTTTTTCTTTACTAAATGATCGGAATAAGATAATGTTAGAAAAGATATTTACCCCTCTTATTTTTTTTCTACAACATTTCTCTTAACAGACCTATTAAAGGTTATTCAGCATCACCTCCAGTGAATCGTAAAAACGATGATTCAAATTAACAAATGATCAATCATTTAATCTGATGTTGGTATTTGTTAATGCAAAAGCTAAAATTATTATCAATAAAGCATCCAAGGAATGATCACATTGAATTGGATGAAGAATATTGAAAATGAAAAGTATAAATATGCATTTCTTCTCTATTGTTGTACATTAAGATCCAGTTTAAAGAAAGATCTATTTTTAAATTCATTTCATTTTATATCATTAACCAATTTATGTACAAAACTTAACTTCAAATGCATTTATGTATAAATTGGTTAATAGATCAGTGTAATGTGATAACTTGATCATTATATATTGAATTTTTCTACCTCCAGATATATATACATATACATATATGATGATGATTACATAATTCTTTGTTCATGTACAACTGGATTATTACATCTGACAATCTTTTGAGTGTTTTTTGCTTGTGCGTATGTGTGTGTGTATGTATTTGCGTGTGTTCATTTAAATGTTATAATACTTGTTGTTACATCATATTATTTGTCATTGACAATGATCTATTATGCAATATTAAATTGTCTTATTATTATATGAAATCACAAAGAGATGCATTTATGGTTATATATATATATATATAATAAATAAAGGTATATACATTAGAACATACTCATATAATATTAGACAAGAAAAATAATTCTTTGTTATTATTTTGAAATTTTGTTTTCTAAAATATTTTTCTGAAAGTAAATCTGTTTATGAAATGAGATAATGTTATTCTTTCTTTTCTCTTCTCTTTTTTTCCCCTTTTTTACACTCAGTTTCATTAATATAATTCTGTAAGTATTAAAAGAGGCTTTTGTGGAGTTTTTAGTTATTTTAATAGTTGAGATCATAAGTCAATTGAAGTTAGACCACCATGGAAAAGTTTCAATTGACTTATGAATCCAACTATTGAAATTACTAAAATCTCCACAAAATGCCCTTCTGATATTAATCAACATATGATCACTAGTGAATGCTTTCAAGAGGTATATCCTGTAATTCTAGTGAGAAACAGTGATCAGTGCAGTTCAATCAGGTCTGTAGTGAGATAGTAACTCACTGATGACGATGGTGGATATGTCACTCAATTTCGTGGATTAGGTGAAATTAGACATTAACACCGTTGAATGTCGGTCAGTTGAGTGGACTAGAGGTTCAGCGTTCGCACGTGAGACTGATAGTTCCTGTGTTCGAATCTTGCGAGTTGGGGTCATGGATGTGCACTGTTGAGGAGTCTTATGCTAGGACGAAACGGCCATCCAGTGCTTTCAGGTTTACCATGATGGTGTATCTCTAACTGGTTCATGATCTCATCTATTAAAATAACTGTAAGTGTCGTTCAATTTCGTGAATTAGTTGAGGTTAGACATTAATATTATTGGATGGTGGCCAGCTCAGTGGTTTAAAGATTAAGTGTTTACACGCGAGACTGATAGTTTTTGGGTTCGAATCTCGCAAAGCGAGATCGTGGATACGCACTACTGAGGAGTACCACTTATTCTATGGTGGTCTTGCTTCAATTGACTCATGATCTTAACTATTAAAATTATTATAATTGTTTGTGTATAATGTTAAAATCTGTTCTTTGCATCACGGAATGTACTAATTTTGAAGACTATTGAAAATCAAGAAGTAATAGACAGCTGTTTTTAACCTAATATATAAGCCCATGACCTTTGATTGCTATGACTTTTTAACCTCTGAACACCCTTTACTTTAATTTTGATCTAACTCCAGTCAATTAGCGATATCGCTCAACCAACAATCCTAGAGTGCATTCGCGGTAAGCCGTTGATGCACACTACTGATGAGTCCCATAGTTGGACAAAGTATTTGTCTATTTATATATTCAATATTTCGTTGAGTTTTAAGTCCTATGTGACATTTTAAATTACAAGTATTATTGGTAGGTCCTTGTATTTTGTACGCATACACCAACCAAAATGAATGTCTTATATGAAGCCATCCATAAATACTAATCTGGTATTTCATTATGAAAGGTCTTAGTATTCAACTGCTTTGAATTAAACGAGCAGTCTGCTGAACTGCATGATTTTCGTGCGCATACACCTATATATATATATATATACTTGACAATATTATTATTTTTACATTGCAGTTAAATATCTTGCGAATTCCCTTTTATTTTGCTGCTATAGTTTAACAAATTCAGTCAGATATCAATATAGAAATGTGTGGAATTTTTAGTATTTTAACAGCTAAATTCACGAGTCAATCTAAGCTAGATTACCATTGAAAACCATAAAGCACTAGATAACCGTTTCATCCTAGCATTTTACTACTTAGCAGTGTGCATTCACGATTCTGTACGCAGAACTTGAACTCGTGACTTTCTATCTCGCTTGCGAACGTTTGAGCTCTAGACCAGTAAGATATATTTATACCAGATTGTATGTTGATTGTGGCTGATTGACCCAAACAAAATTATGACAACCTATCGATTTTGCATGAACAAAGCTGATGACGGAATTGATAAGCGAAATTAGTAATAAATGCCAGAGTAAAAAATTAGGTAGATGGATTACGCACTGATTATAAAACTGATCAAGGGATTAACAGGAGTATGGATAAAAAAAGGTGAAGACATATCCGATAATGAGCGTACGAATATCTAATAAATGTATCTAATATAATTTATTTGATATAGGTATAATGTACGTAATACTGGTCGGTGGCCTATGCTCCATTGGGAGTAACAGGCGATATAACATATATAATGTATGTGACCTTAGAATCTAAGACACGCCTCGTATTTTATTTGCAGCTCATCAGCTGAATAAATCCGCCATGTCCTATAGTTAATGTTCACACATAAATGAATATATACTTACATCCAGACTGAAGAATATTTACAATAAGAAATATCAAATCATTATCCACATCGTTAATTCAACTAATTATATATCTTTACAATAATTATCTATGTTATTCTCTTTTAATCTAACTCTTTACAATTAAATAGCATATCTTTCTTGTAAGTAAATAAAAGTAGTATATTGAATATCTTATTTTTCCTTATTCTATTCATAAGAAAATTGTTTACTAAATGTTAACGTTTTAAAACAAAAGAACAAATGTACCATTATGTCTAATTCTCTTATAATAACAATTTTATATAAACATATATACTTCTATGCAAATGTTCCACGTAACATTATATATGATCCTTAACAAAAAATTAGAAGGGGTTTTGTGGAGATTTTAGTAATTCTAGTAGTTGAAATCATGAGTCCAGTGAAGCTAGACATCCATGAAAAACCTGGAAGCCCTGGATGACCGTTTCGTCCTGGTATGGAACTCCTCAGCAGTGTACATCCACGAGCCATCTCGCGGGATTTGAACCCAGGAACTATCAGTCTCGCGCGCGAGCACTTATCCATTAGACCACTGAGCTGACAGGCATCCAACGGTGCTAATGTCTAACTCCTGGGTTCGAATCTCGAAGGGGGCTAGATCGTGGAAGCACACTGCTGAGAAGTCCCATAATAGGACGAAACGGTCATCCAATGCCTCCAGGTTTTCCATGGATGTCTAGTTTCAACTGACTCATGATCTCAACCATTGAAAAAAATTTCATAAATGATTTAATAATAGAATGATTAGATTACTTATTTGTACTTTTATTCTTTTATTGAAGTAAATGAAAATGATAGTATCCAGGTGAATCAACTGTAATCTCTTTAAGATTTAAAGCACACATTTTATGCTCCTATTATTGATCAATGAATTTTAGTGAATATATTATAAAAAGTGTACATATATTCTATTTATTAAGTAAATCATGGTTAGGATTTGAAGTATATTGTATTAAAACTATGAAGTTATATATAAGGATAATAATTCAATCCTGTATCTAGGGGGGTTTGATATATTATCTATTCAATATTTATATTAAAATATTTGAAATTAATCAATTCTCTAAAGAGTAAGAATGTGTTTTTAAAATCTTAGCTTTTTCAAATTCTTTCGTTGAGATTTTACAAATACATTCTTCCTTTCTAATGTTTGACACTAAATTGGTGCTCAAATACTGTGAAACTATCCAATCAAATTTAGACATACAATTCTCTGTTCACAAATATTTCCAGTCAATCAATAGGAATATGAGAAAATGTTTACTTAATTGTAATTTAGATCTTAAGAAATGAATGTCCAGTTTTCAGTTTCACTTGTCACTACTTTGTATAAACATTTTCGAATGTGAAACACTAGGTATTATAGTGAAGATGTTACAGGTATTTGGAGTTTGACAACGCTTTAACCAGTAACATCTAATATGAATCGTATCCACCAAGTAAAATCAAAAGACATAAGTGAGGAGGTTCGAAGATATATTTGATAGGCTATGAATATGTCGAGGATCGTCTGATCTAATCTGGCTAGCGACTGTAGGGGTTGTTGAGAACGGCGTTCCCACTCGTGATCTGGTGAGGATGCATGACCAGGTGAGTCCATTAAAACTAATTTGGTCAGCATCCAATGTCGAAGACATACAGGGCTATTTATTTTGGGGATTTATTTACCGCTACAATAGTCTTGTAAATTGTCGTTTCAAAGATAAATCACATTCTTATGAGTATACTGACAATATTTATCAGTCAAACAATTCTCTAATTCTAGTCTTTTGACTACTTTATTAATAAATCAAAAGACTGATTTCATTCAATCTGATTCTTTACTCATAAAATTGTTTTTCAGAATAATTCTTATACCTTCTTTGAAATGATGAACGTATGGTCAAATACTTCCTACACTTTTTAAATCGGTTAACACAATCAATAAGTAAGGAATCTAAAAAGCAACACTTTTAAATATGTAACTCGTCATTATTAGAAATCATGCATCATTCTTATTTCACTAATTAATCACACTTTCATTGCTCATTTTAGCAAGTACTTCTTACTTAATTACTTACTTACTCCTGATACTCCCAATGGCGCATAAACCACCGACCGGCATTCTCTAATTCACACTGTTCTGAGCCCTCCTTTCTAATACTATCCAATTGTTGTTCATTCTTTTCATGTCTGTCTCCATTTCTCGGTGTAATGCGTTCGTTGGTCTTCCTCATCTCTTTTGGTCTTGAGGATTCCAAGTGATGAATTACCTTGTGACACAGTTTGGTGCTCTCCTCAATGTGTGTCCTATCCAATTCCAGAGCTTTTTCCTAATTTCTTCCTCCACTGGAATCTGGTTTGTTTTCTCCCATAAAAGGTTATTGTTGATAGTGTCTGGCCAACGAATCCGAAGTATTTTGCGTAGACAGCTGTTAATAAACACTTGTATCTTCTGGATGATGGCTTTCGTAGTTCTTCAAGTTTTCACCTAATACAGTAGAACTATCTTGAATATTCCTACACCCGACCACTGATGAAGTCATGGATGTACATCTTAAAGCAGTCATAAATTAAGTCGAAATAGCTGTACCGTGTTTCCAGGTTTTTAACAGTTATCAAACTTATTCTGGTTCCTGATCTCAATATTATTCAAATCAGATCACCCTATATTTTAAAAAAAACAATAGTCATATTCAGTTTTAGTGTTGTAGAAATGACTAAATTGTATTCTATTAACTTATAAGTTAAATAAATCCCATAAATTTATCTCAAATAAGAACATTGAAAGGTATTTTTATAATGATTTGCATATAAAAATAATCTTTATATTATTTAACTCTAAATAACAACCCAAATAATGCGAATAAAAAGCTTTTCAACCGTTACATTCTATATGTCTTTGTTTATGGTAC